TGGGATACTTTTCACATTTCGGAGAATGTTGTACTCCGGTCACCCTTTACAAGTGCCTCGACTCCTGGCAATAAAATACCAATGAAATAAATAGGCTAGAACGATCAATGTTCCGCAACTATTCATTGCTCGATTTCGACAATGCTGCCGTTCCTTTTCTAGCTTTGTCGGCCACTTTGGGAGCCCAGAATCAGTGGTGTTTTTGCGCCGCCTCTTCTGCAGAGCTCTATAGAACGCTGCTACAGATTGCACTCGTTGACTCACGATTTATACAGACACTTCAATATTCAACACACGCGCTGGTGCTAATGGCAGGTAACAACGCCACCAAAAAACGACTAAAACTTTCAATTGATTTCCCGCCCGTTGTACTACAACTGCAGCCCTATCTTGCTTCTGCCTGCGCGATCGTGCCTTAAGGTCTGCGCATGCGACGGGCATGTTGATCGCTTTTCGAGCAGAAGATGACGACAACGCTTGCAGTGTATTTATAAAGATTTCTGCTACCCCACAGGAAAGCGAATATTGACGGGATTCGAGAGGCCGCGAAGTTTATGTCAACCCTATCTCCCTTACGGAGTCTGCTAGCCCCCCTGCCAGCGGATACCGACAACAAGAACAGATACATATACAAATACCTGAAAAGTAGCAACGTGCTACGTGAACAGGCGGCACGACGCTTGAATTTGGCCACTGCCTACTCAAGATGATAAAACAACAGTGTTGTATTTTGTACTTCTTTATTAGAACCAATAACAAAGATAGCTATTTGTCTTTGAAAGCTTTTGTGATTTGGCCCCGGCAAGCCGAGGGGTCGCCAGTGAGCTGATCCACTTGATACGCACTGTTTTTTTGTGTCTTGGTGAGTTAATGCGAAAATAACTGCATGGCAATGGGCCGCAAACAATGTTACGCGCAAAGACGCGGTATTTGAAACTTCGCCTACGGGCATCGGAGATCTAAGCGAGATACAATGTTCGATGCATATAAGCAGATTACGAAAAGATGTAAAGGCCCGTGGCAACGGTTACATGACGAATACCGGGAAGGCTATTAGGGCTCAGACGATGCGCGTCTGCTAATGCCAATACCTCAAAGACTGGCTTTGGGGAATTGCCATAGTTAGAACAAACGCGATGGTTATGAAGAAGCCACTTCAAGGTGATAGGTACGTTTGTACGTTCAAGTACTGCATTTGACGCGATCGTCAAACACCAAAACGCCAATAGCGTTACGTGCTGTAATCGATGTGTGTACGAGACGGGTTTAATTGTCCATGAGAAGTAATCATGACATAGATATTGGACAGATCTAGACCATTCGCTAATTATAATTGATGCCTGGCTTGCTGTGTAATATCAACTGATCAAACAAAGTCTACAGATTGTATGGCAAAAAAAAACCCAATTGATTATACTACTTTTTTTCTTGTGAGTGCTAACGGATCGTATCCAGCGGAAGTTTTCTTATTTGGAAATAAGACAATGTATATATATATATATATATATATATATTGTATCATGTATGTAATAGGGATGAACACTCGATTGATTCACGTTTATTAACGATGGTTGTACAATTTAATATTGGTAATAGTACCATTATTAGGGTTAAATAATTATCCTTATTTATTGCTTAATGTTGTTCTCACTCCCAAGTTCACCTCAGCAATTGCGCGGGGCTAGAAATTGAAATTTCGCGCGTCAGCCAACATTTTAACACTAGCCAGTTTTCGGGACTTCAATTGCAAGTTGTTGTATGGTCACGGCTGAGATAATAGCACACACTCAAGTGTCGAAACAACTGCTGTATAATTCGTATAGATTTTATTCTAAATTTCGGTAAATCGATGAATAGGGTAAATGTTTTTTTCTTCTAAGAGGTCTACTTGTTCACCAGAAGGACAACACATCTCACAACTGCCACACGTGTTCCCAAAATTTCTACTAAAATTTCTCATACTTGCGTAGAGCTCGCATGCTATCTACTGTCTGTTAGATTAAGTCTATTTTCCAATATTCCATAAAAATAGGAGCAAAATCCTAAGAACAGCGAAAATTTACCACCCGGAGGACATGCCGTACCTTCGTACCGTTTTTAGTATACCAACTGCGTGAGTTTTGTATATGTAGACCTCATCAGGATTAGTAAAAAAAATAGTAGCGGCTTTGGTAAGTCTTAATATGATCGCAAAAGTAGCTTGTATTTAATCTAACAAGTGAGTAAATTAGTATCACTTCTGCTTCTGTGATCAACTGCTGATTTACTACCGATATTATTAAAACAAATACGTGAAATTAATTGAAGTGCGCCGTTCCTGGCCCGATATCCGCTTCTAAGGCTCTAGTTTTGTCTAATTCTTGGATAACGCAGCGTCATTTAGGTTCGCTCGTACGTTGTCCTCGAGAGACGTAATGAAAAGTGAAACTAAAGACTTACTAAATACTATAATATACCGAATCTAGATGTGCTGTTACCGCTTTGTCAGCACTGCTTATGCGCGACACTAAAAAGACACTGAACGAAGCAAGGCCGGCAGGCAGGCAGGCCGCCGGTCGGCCGATCGAAAAGCTTTAGAAATATCTTTTAGTATGAAAGCGCACACGTGTATATATAGAGATTTGAACAACTCAGGTCTGCCAGTGAGTATTTAGATGAAACAAATATTAATTGCCATTAAGTCTTTGGAAGAGATCGTTCCCGGTTTAGTCGAAAGATACGTTGACGAATACGAGCTGATCCAATAGGCCGATTTAAGCGTCCAGAAATGTACGATTTGCTTTCTGGAGTGCTTTGTACGGTACAACCACTAGCTACACAGTGACCTAGTCTTATGCAATGACTGGTTACAGCTCCAAGCATTGACATCGGATTAGCGACGTAATTCCGCAGCGACTACCTCGTGTGAAGCCACTTGCCATAGAAGTGCATCGCTGTTTAACATTCGACTTTTTCCCATCAGACGTACCGTATTTATACAAATATTGGGTATTGTTCGAGTTCTCTAAAGATTTTAAAAATTTGCAAAAAGGCTAACGATTGCCCACTTCGGCAAACGGGTCTGCTTGAATGCCCACGTTCAGCCGTCACCCTGGCCCACCTCTCTGATAGCAAAGAGTTCGGCGAGATCTGGCAACCTTGCGACGATAGGTATCTGTGAGCACCACGAATTTATGACGAACTCGGCGACAGCCAGCAATAGGACAAAGTGGTCTTCAGGTATCGCGTAAGGATACAGGTAAATCACTTTGCTAATTACGTTTAGTATCGTTAAATCGACGAGCACCCTGTGCGAGAACGCATCGGTGACTTGAATGAATCTGCGCAATTGCCACAACGTTGGCTGGTCAATACTGAGCAGTTCATCCAAAACCGGTTCGATATAGCACGCCGTATGGAACGTTATGCAGAGGACGTGCTGGACCATCATGGCACACATTCCGTAAGTCCGGTAAAGCGGTTTTATATAACAGGCTACGATCTTCACTGTGAGTTGGTACGTGTGCAATAGGATAAACGCCAAATGGTACACCAGATTCAGCCCCAAAAGTAGATTTAGGCTTAGCGGCCATCGGGGATAGGATAACCGCAATAAGCGGAGGAGAACGCTCATTTCGTAGATAACATCACCTCAATGGTCACAGCAGCTCTAAATTTTTGTCTGAATACATTTCCATGCAATAGATGATATCAGCATCGTCGTTTTACTCTGTTTAGTATTTAAGATATCGAATATGGACATACGGTGTTTTACTATTAGAGCCAGTCGGGCGCTGGCCATAAGGTCTCTCGGTGATTTGGTCGGTAACCTTTGGGCGGCCACTCATCAAAGAACATGGATTAGTTGAACGTAGTTCCATTATACTATAAGAAATCATTATTGCAACATTGACTATTTTTCTTGTCAATGTCTGTTAGCTACATGACAAGCACTGCATCGCAAAACGCGAGTCTGAAAATGAAGCTAAGAAGACTTATTCGGGAATTCGGGAAGATGCTGTTGTACTAGAAAATGGAAAATATCACATCTATTTGCATGCTCACCTAGGCCTACTTGCCATTCGTGTTTTTCAGTGAAGCACAGCACCGGCCTTAGGTGGCAAAGCTGGACAGGGCGTTTCAGCTGGACCAAACACAAAGTGGCCCAATTGCGTTTTAAAATCTAATGTGTACGGACACATTGTCTCCATAAATCACTAAGTATATGTGTATTGATATGTCGGAAAGTAGATTGTTTTTTAATCAACTTATTCTCATTTGATGGCTGCGGGAGGGTTATACAGCTCCACTATATTAAATTACAAAGCCATAGCTCTGACCCATTAAGACCACCCAAGTGTGACCGCCATTTATCAACGATACAGTCAGTGATAGCCCTGCGGCTTATCTCATCAAGTTTTCCGACAAGATTTTTGATGAAAAGCCTTTGTATACACACAGACATTGGTACGCTCGTCGTAATGCTAACCTAGCCGCATTTAATGGACATGATAATTGATCGGCAATCCAACTTCGTTGAGTGATAATTCTAAGTTTTCATTGACAGACAAATCGTGTCAAGCTCCAGTTCGAAATCGCTTACACGTGTGAAAGAAAACAATATAAATATAAAACAACGAGGCCAGCAATAATGCAGACAGGTTCTTTCGGAACAGATTTTAGAAACGTATACATACCCAGGTCAGGTATAGGTCCTATGCGAAGAGCATTCGCACCTGTCAGATGTTGGTACTAGCATTCTGAAGTGTCATCAGCCCATTAGTTTTTATTTAGAATTGTTCAGATAGAAGTAAAATGTGTCTTGCTCTATATAATAAAGAGCACTCAATCACTAGACCAAGGACTGGTGCATCGAGTTTAAACTTTACATGTTTACAGGATTACTATGTGTGATGCGCATTGTTACACATGAAGTACACTATCTACAGAAGTACAGTGAAGACAGCTGAGCCTTTGTTTGCTTTGAATGTTTGTTCTCGGTTTATTATCTAGGACTGACTTATATTAAAGTTAGGCAGCCGCGCCTTCGCCGGCTTAACTCTTATATGAAAATAGATACTGTCTAATGATGTTTACATTCTTTGTATTTCTCTTTTCCTCCATGAGTATTTATTTACATGACTATATACACATACGAAATAGTACAAAGTGAAACTGGTACAAACTAATTTCGAGTCTGAGTAGTACTCTTTATCGGCAATTCATTATTACACGTTGGCTGAGCATAGATCACATTGTTGAGTGGCATCGCCCATTATCAGCTTCGGTCACCAATACAGATTGCTTACTCCTTTTCGCTAGCAGAACAATCGCCAAAAGCCAATTCAATAGCGGAGCTGAGCGGCGATAAGGGAAAAATCTTCATTCGTTTTATCATCAGCTAGTTGTTTTCTACCAGAAAGGGGCGGGATAGAAGGGTAAGCCGGCTGGAACCATCCGTTGATGAGTCTTGACATGCTTTTTCAGATGGTCCTTTCGACCAAACGGTTTTTGACAGACCGGGCACGGGAATGGACGAAGTCCTGAGTGAATCCTTCGGTGGCGGGTCAGTTCTTCGTTGCGTGTGAATGTCTTGCCACAGCCGTCGTGCTCACACGCAAACGGTCGTTCACCTGTATGAATACGGATATGCGATTTCAGCTGGCCATTATTCGAGAAGCATACATCGCAATGAGGGCAGTTAAATTTTTTCGGGCGTTGCACGGATGCCTTCTTCAACTTTGCAGCAGCCTCGACGCCGACGCCGGCCGCTAGCATCACTGATCTGTCCAGTTCGGCGAGCCATAGCTCTGACAGAAGCAGATCAGCAGAATATCCAAGAGCACTAGCTGGCACTGGGTGCACTGGCAACATGTCGGGTGGGGGCAGGATAGGCTGGGGTCGTACGAGCACGGCGCAGGTGGACTCTGGCGAGGACACTGACGAGGGTCGAGAACCCGACGAACTTTCGGAGGAACTGTCCTCGGCGTCCCAGGGACGAAAAATAGCTCTATGGACACCGCCGTTCTCCTTAGTATTCGTCGTCTCCATTATTTGATCACGTTTGGCGTTTGATGCTCCCTCAAGTTTCAATGTGAGCACGTGCGCGTTTCAGGCACTATGTATGGGTAGGAATAAGCTGTAAGTAGTCCTGCACAGCCAGAGTTGGTCCTGGCTTGGTTCGGTTCTATGTTGTATGTTTATTCGCTTCGAAGTGAAACAGGCCAGCGAAACAGAATAGAACGAAATTTACGCTAGGCAGCAACACAGTTACTTGAGTACAGCTCAGAGACTCGCGGCTGAATGGTTCCCTGAAAGGCCTCAGTCTATGTTATAAGTGGGGAGAAGACGCTATGGGCGGAGTCTATCGTGAGGTGGGGAGGCGGTCCGCGAAGCTTCGGAGGGGTGAGCTGGCGCCTCGATGAAAAAAAGTGGGTTGGCTGCAAAGGCGGCGGCGGCAGCGGCGTTTAGCAGAGGCCGGCAAATAGAACGAGTCTGCCGTTACCCCGCAACGAGCCATCATCGCTATAGCCTCCTCGCCATGGATGGTTTTGTGTGATTTCAGTATGTGCCTCTACGAGATGAAGAGGCTGAAAGGGAGTGTGCGTGGAGGCTGAAAGTTGAGTACAATTCTGTGCGATATACGAAAGGAGCGCGGTCTGCTCTGCCACGAACAGGACTTGGCGCTACTGTAACTCTAAGGCTGTCAGCGACTAGCCTATACTATTGAATACACTATTGGGAGTGGTGCAGACCCAGTGAGTGGCACACAAGTGGGACAAAGAGAGAGGAGAGGGTTAGAAACAGTGCCATAGAGAAAAGGCAGTACAATCCAGTCAATTCACTGATGAGCAAGCAAAACTCAAACTTTGAGCAACCTGCTATTGGGAATCATGGAAATCGTAGAAAACGCTGTACTAATAAGCTGCAGCCGTACATCTGTCAGGGACCAGCCTTCCACTGCTAAGAGGGCTGACTGAAGGAACAGAGGTGCATACGCAAGAAGCAGTACAATATCCGATGCTTCGTACGAGAAGTCATCTCTATCCCCAGTACGTTAAATAGTACTATTGTTTGCATTGTATAATAACGTTAACTATTCAAGATGCTTACACGAAACACCTCGAATAAAAAAAAAGGTAGCAAGCAACAGTAAACTATAAAACAAAAAGAAAATTATTGTGATTCGCACAGGCAATGGATCACCAAGTGCCTGGCATCGGCGAAAAGATATTTGGCAGAATTCGAGCTGCAATCGCCCGATAGGCGGCTCATATTAGTAACTGAATTAACATTCCGTAACTTAAAATTAACCTGGTGTACTTTGTCCTACCGAAAATAAGAGAACTAAACAGAGAATTGAATTCGTTTAGCATTCCCTCTACATTTTACATTGTGAATGAAACTCATAAACGAGGCAGAAGTTGTAGAGTTGAAATCAGCAAATGAGTCTTGGGTGCTGTGACCAACGCGAGCCCGTTGTCTAAGCCGCATGTGATTCTCCACCAAACAATAACTTCAGAAGCTAACGCTACCGCTTACTAACACAGTGAATCTGCAACTGTCTAGGCAGAACAGTTGTCAGATATCTCCAGTTTTGCCATGATCCATGAATGGCAAGCCGTGTATGCGGAATCTTTATGTCTTATGGTTGACACTCCCCTTGCGCATGTATGACCAAGGCTAGCAAAACAGCCGCAGTAGCATAGCGACGAGTTGGACCACTACCACCTCGAGATCCATTCATTTGAGGGTCTAGCAGGCAGTCTGATGATTATTAGACCCGTGCTGGTGATAAGCATCATAATGGCCCAGCGAACACACACACACACAGACACGCACAAAACGACTCCCTCAAAGGGAGAACATGTCCGTCCGGTCCTAACTTAGCTTTCTTTCTCGTCTCGAGGGAGCTCCCGCTGGGAGCCCATAGTGTGTTAGCCTCAATCGAGTTGCCGGTCCCCGTTGAAGCTACTACGAAGCCCAGCACAGCCACTTGCGCACTCTGTCTTTCGCACAAAGTTCGTCTCTTCTCTCATTCACTGTTCGCTACTATCTGCTCCTGCTTTCCCGGCGGCCGGGGAAACAAGCGATGAGTCTTAGGGGATGTGCTTTCGGGGGTAGGGGTTTCGTTGGCTGACCGGGGGTAGATGCGGTGCGTAGGTAGGGGGCGGGGGGAGAAGAGACTAGGGATGGCCATGCATAAGCAGTCTGAGCAGTCTACGCTCTCTCGCCCAGACGAGTACTAGCTTCTCCTTCAACGGAATGTGCTCTTGGGGGTAGCGGTGGGCTTGCTTGCTTGCCTTCGCTGTAGTGCTCGAAGTCTGCTGTGCACACTCTGCTGCTCCCTCTTGAGCTGAATTGCTATTCCTCGTCGTTCGTCGTCGACGACAGGATTCGAGAAGTAGAAATAAGGTTGGCCTGTGGGGTGAGTTCCTACCGGTCCATTTGAAGGCTAGGTTGGTCGGGTCCACTCTGCTCCCCCCTCCTGGTCTCCCGCAGTTGCTGGGGTAAAGCGAAGGATCGAGCCCCTCGCTGGGTTGGAGAGTGTCGCGGGCTAATTCTCAGAGGCTGGTATCACGACCGCCACTACTAAGCTGCGCTGGTTGTCGAGGCAGCTTGCGAGAAAACCAGGCAAGCAAGCCCTTCTTCTATTACAATTGCGACTAGCATGCGAATGCTGCTGCTGATACCATTGCGACGCTCTACCGGTACTACCATACACTTGCTATAGAATAGCTCAGCACGTAGCGAGATATGGTGGAAGTGCAACCAGCCGCCGAAACTACAGTACCAGGCGCGTACCTCGGTGAGTCGGGACGACAAGCCTTATGTTGGCGGGCGACGCTTCGTTGAGCAGACTTTGCTGCGTACAGAACACTGTTCGAATAGGCTGGCAGGCAGGCAGGCAGGGAGGGATTCGAGTAGCTGGCGGGCTAGAGGGAGCGCTGCTGTTGAAACCCACATCTTGGGACAGTAAGAACTGCATTCAGGTCATCCGCTAACTTGCTATCGGTGCTCTGTTAGACACGCCATACCGCTTAAACTGCGTGACTTGGCAGATCCAGCCGACAGACTCAGATGCAGTTTCATCAAATGCGTTACAAACACTCACATAGGCGCACACATTTAATGCCACGAGTCAAGATCGGCGCGTATAGTAACATAGTATGAGCTGATACGAATATACATCACCATGCGGACGCGAATACATAGGGCTCAAAGCATTGGCTTGTGACAGAGTGGCTGTTCCCGCGCCCAGATTGCCAACCGCGAAGCAGAATGCGATTAGGCCTCTTGAGTATACCGATGATGGGTTTGCATTTCAGGTTTCGGCCTGTGGTGCAGTAATAGGTATCACTGACTAACCACAGCAATCAGGGAAAGTAATCTGACCGGTACAACCAGTGCCAAAGCCCCACAAAATTCTCGACACTGTATGGTAAAAAGGGGCTTGCTTAACTAAGCTACTTTAACTGTACGTTTCGCTGGGGAGCAAATTGGTTTTCAAATTTTTTTTGGCGCTTCTTTCGGCCACCTCGATCGACAGTATCGATCATCTGAGTCAAAAACTCATTGATACTTCGTGCATTGAGGTACTTCCACTACGATGCTGCTGCTGACTTTTTTCTTTGCGAAAGGAAAATGTATGTTTTGCCTTCTGCAAAATACACAAAAATAAGAGAACACTCGAGATTTAAGTTTTAAAAGAAAGATATTGAACTAAGGCGAAATACTGAACCAGCTCAGCGACTGTTGAGTATATTTGGAGAGGCAATTTAATTGCGGACCTTATCTTCTGCATCTCCTAAGTTGAGTCGAACGTCATTATGAGGCTCTTTTTCAGTTTTTTTTGAGATGTAAATGTGAAAACGTTCTTTTTTTTTAAGTTGGACGTCCACTGGCCATTATATCGTTGCTAATAGTCGTACATTAGAACACAGGAGGTGGTGGGTAGGTACGGGACCGACTAACATAACGTCTAAGCCAAAGTCCAGTGAAACTTCTAAATGGCTCCATTTGACTGAATGCAAATTTTATGAATATATGCATATATTTTTATTGTGGAATGGGCGTTATTGGGTTTAAAGGAACCCAATTTTTCGATTTGTTGAATAGGGGTGCTTTAAAGTGTACAAACCTGACATGATTGAATAAAGATAAGATGAGCATTTGATGTCGTGTAACTTAGGATCTTTTCAATTGGCAAGGTTCCTTGGACGATAACTTTGTGAAAGTCTAATATTACTCTTATTATTATTATTATTATCTATATATTATATACAGTTTCGAAATATTTAATTTCGAATTTTTTCGCCGCTTTTAGTGGACAGCTAATGGATTTCGCATCTTGTTGCTATATTTGTTCGTTAAACTGTAAGGCCACCTAATTTAGACCAACAGAGACCGCTTTACTTATTTTAAAACGTCTCTGTTATACTGGCATCGTTAATTGGTTCAATTCTATCACTGAGTTTTATTCATTACGACTATAGATATATATTACACGAAGTCTTAAACAGGAAGTACCTCGTTTGTTAGCATCGCGTGTCATTTAAGAAAAGCCGCTATACGTATCATTAGATAATTCGAATTACCGTTCAGGATTTGATAGGTTTATAATAGTACTACCCCCCCCCCTCCCCCCCCGATACCCCAATAACTAAATGCGTATATGGAACGCATTTTACACACCGGTCCAGATTATTTCTTAGTAGACAGTTGCCGAGATCCCTTATGTATACCCGCCCTAGCAGATATCAAACAAGGGATCACTGAAACACTATAGGACAAATCATGCACACTTAACATATTAGCGTGCATGTGAAAGTCTGTTTTTTAAAAACGTTTTTTAAAGTTTTAAAAAAAATCGAAATCGTATTTAACTCGATTTGTGAAGTTTATTTTGCAACACAAGCTGTACGGTTTTTCGTTGGTTTAGGGCGCTAGCCGGGAGCACCTAAGTTCACTACCCAAGTTATTACTTTCAGCCAAAAATTTTAGCTATTTATATTAAAAAGCTACGTGTACTGCTGTAACTCTGCACAAGCACTAAGTGGAGCTCCCTTGCAACAAAAAGTCGTTTTTACATTTTTCAAATTTTACAATCGCACATGGTGAGCTTATTTTACTTCTGCAAGTTAAGCGCCTCTTCAAGGGTTGTGTCGAAAAGCTATACGTTACGTAATAAATGTATATACAATTTTTTTTTCTTTGAAAAGCTAACATTCAAGTACTCGTGCGCAACGATTTGTCGAAGTAGGCTACCATGACGAGTTTTGCCCGTCATCAAAGTCTACCTCGATCATTTTCATTGAGACGGCCACTCTTATTATTCCAACCTAAACGACAATACTGTCTTGCCCCCATGAAGTTCGCTGTTTGTTTTGTGCCTCAATAATGTGTATTTCATCGCACAATAGTCTATATATACAGGCACACTCAACAGTATCAAGGCATGCATAAATGCCGACTATTTTCATTTATTATTCGAGTCTATTTTAGGCACAATCTATCACAACTTAGGCGGAAGCGACGATGAAGGCACCCCTCGGTCATAAACGTTTCAAACTCTATCTTAGCGCTCTCCGTGGCCTTCGGCTACTTTACTCTCTTCGTTGACAACCGTTGAAATAAGAGCCAACATGAACTTTACCGGATTCGTCCTTCCGTCGAGAGCGTGTCTGACTTTCGACAAGGCGTCAAAAAGCGCCTGTGCTGCGCTCATGCGTACACTGCAGAGGTAACAACGAGCGATTCAACCGGCTACGTAGAGCCCCATACGCGTCCTTTCGAATGGGTGTCCGAGCTTGATAGGCTTTGTAGCCTGCCATCTCAAAGTGCTAGCCATGAAATTTAAAATTTACTTATAAAGCTTATATATGTTTGCAGAGCAAGGTAGAAGCACTGAGAACTGTGCATTTTGTTAGAGTGGTGAAATGATCACCCGTGGCTGAGTATGCACACGGTCGAAGCACACTCGAGGTGATGTCGTGCTGTGTCACAGCGGGAAGATCGGAAGGTCAGCTAGAAAGACGACAACTGATCTTCACCAATAAATCTACCCTGGTGGGCCTGCCCGCCGGGCGCAGCCTAATGGCGGCGTTCGACGACCTATGCTCTACATGTATATGAGTATCTGCTGAGTTCGGCCATGACCAACGCTATCATGACCGACATTACCACGAGCGTCATTGGCGAATGCAGCAGCTTTACTTTGAATGGGTAGGGTACATAAATCGATCTTACTAGTCAAATGCTCCCTGTCGCATTGGCGCTTGCCGCGCGAGCGACTACAGCGACTCAGGAGATATCATCACGTACATAATGTCGCACATTCAGTGATCGCAGAGTATAAGGTGCTTGAATATGGCGTCGTACTCTACTGGGGTGGGTTGGGTTTTCGGCTAGAACTGATCTGGGTGCTACTACCCACGTCCGCTTTGCGATCGAGTTCGCTTAAGTTCATGATGAAACGTACAGTGTAGCAACGCTTTGCCACTGAATCATTGAGAAAAATTAGTTGCCAGTCTATCCTCCAACTCCTGCTGATGGAGTCGGCGGATAATGCCTGTGCCCATACATAAAGTAGCTATCGAACTAGAGTCCCACTGTTATGATAATGGCCGGTGCGGCAGCCACCACTGCTGTTCCTCCGTGGACGCACACACATGTATCGATGCCTAGCGGCGACGAAGAAACTCACTTCCTAGGGAAACATCGTTGATGTTACTTGCAGGATGGATACAAGAAATTGCCGACTACTGGTAGAACGAACGGAACGGTTCTATACAGCCATTGAGAGTGAGGCTAATTTGACTCACTGCCCCAGAGTCTTACCGGAAGTATTTATGTATGAGGAACTAATAATGTATCACTATCATACGAAAGTGCAGATTCGTATAGCTCTGCGGCCGCATGTGTATTTAGGAAATAGGTATCAAGAATAAGAAACTATAAATGCACTGCTAGCTTAAGCTATAAACCTAAGAGTAGTTATGAGGCAGTATGCCCACACGAAGGGAAAGTTGAGAACTTTTGCAAATCACCTTTAGAGAATAAGAAGAACATTATTGTCCTTAAAAAAAATTAATACAAATCCCAATTTCGATTTTCCCAGCAGCTAAAAAGTATCCAGTACACTATAAAGTGTGATCGTGATCTGGGAGTTTTTCAGAACAGTTTTGGACAATCGACGAGCAATGTTTGAATCTGTTTTACAATGCCCCTTATGGATCACCATATTTTTGCCACATCGACAGTCCGGTGCGTGGATAATAAACGAAATTACTTGTAAGCCACCACCGTATAGATTCCTGCTCCAAGTTGATATGAATAGTCAGTGCACACATCGTTTACATTGTTTTTGTTCTCCGTTCAATCAGGCTGCATCATAGGGGCTTTGTCTATCATACGGTATGTTTGCATCTATAGAGCTGCGACAACGTTTGGGGATATAGAAATCAGCGAGCGAAAATTACGGAGGCGTAACCCCCGCGGCTTTGTCAGGGTTAAGAACTGCATCACATCGTATTTTATTGCTCTCCAAGTAATCGAGACCAATAAACCAGACCTATACTGAGGAGGAAATAGGTCACATAAGCGGCAAGAGTTTCGTATCTCAGAAAGCCGTACCCCACAGCGCCTCGACTGTTCTCTCTCGTTATTATCAGGTTCTTGTTGTGCTTTGTGCCTCAGCACTTGACGACGCTTCCTTGAGGTTAGGGCAACTGACAGTATCGTTTCTGTTATTATGAAATACTCCCTGTAGCTTCAAACAATATCGGAATAATTAATAAGGCATATCAACGTTTCGTGTAAAATTAGCCTGTCATATATGTATACACGCCTTAGTCGATACGTTGTCAAGATCTGCCAATTGTCCGTCCAGCCGCCAATGTCCGCTCGATTGCAGAGGACGGATTATGGGACCTGGAATGTGAAAATTATCGCCCAGATCGCCGACCAGAGGCAGACAACCGTCGGTATAATAGTGAGGACCAGTGGCGTCAGGTTGCGATCTGCGTGCTCGAAGCTAGAGATAGGAGAGAGAAGTTGACCATAAAGGACTACCAGTATTTAAAGGAGGAGATTTTGAAAAACAAAGAGGGAGCCAGGCAAATGTTATACCGGAATAAAGCGCCCATATACTGCGGAAAGCCGCTTGGATGGCCTCTTGAACTCCAAGAAGGCACTGGGAATGTACTACTGTTAAAGGATAACAGGTAAGCGTTCCAGTAGCAGCCAGTTAAGAAGCGTCGCAATGAAAACGCTAAGCGATCAACGCGCTGAACAACGAAGCGTGCAGTCGCGCGGAGGCCACGTGAACGTCGCGTGGACTCAGCATGATCTGGTAGCGATTGCTGAGTGTAACGGCCAAATGTATTGCATAAGGACATAATCCGAACATGGCTAGCGCATAAAGTCCTACCCGTTAGCCGTATAAATATGTATATATATTGTACGCGTTGAGTTTGCTGTTTCACATGCACCTTCATACACTCTCTTTGACTTTGTTCTAGATACAAAAAGCAGTGACCTTTATGAGTTGTCGCTGTTGCGACAGCGGTTGGTCAGAGAAGAGCTGATCTACCGGCCTACTTCTGAAGTCCTTGAATGAGAAGGCTCTGAAATAGAATAGCATCCTCACACTACATAGTCTAGCTGATTAGTTTAGACTCATGTTGTTTACACTGGTATCGCAGGCTCATGCTGACTGCTTAGAGCAAGAATAGTATGATCAGGATATCAGTCTCCGTGATAGCTTAGTGAGTAACGTATTTGCCAGCTAATATTAGAGTAAGTTCTGGTTTAGGTTCAAATTCCGGTATAGACAGACGTACTGGGAGTCAGCCATCTGATTGAAGGCCTAACGACGATACCTGACGCAAAATTCGAAACGAAAAGGTGCGGCGCCAACTAGCGTTGGATAGCCTACATTAATTCAGTGCTATCATGATTTTAAAGGGACATGTCGGTTTGTGTACATCAAATTTATAGTCTCAATTATTTAGATTAAACCTTAAATTAGCAACGCCATTAGGAAATAGATCCTATACGAAATAATTAGCATATCCACGCAGACATTATGTTTGCCCAATATTTTCGAAGTTATTTTTGTGCGTTCAGTTAGCACAGCAAGGCTTGTGGTACTGGAGGTGTGCCACGCGTGCCCTACTCACCAGCGTGAAGGTCAATTAGCAGCGTGAGGTGAATTATTGGCAATGATGCTGAATATTTATACGGTCCTTGTGTTCACGTTTGCTCCTTTGATTTTACTATTATAAACTTAGTTAGGGGAGCGTAGCGATGATCAAAGGCAAATATCGAAATGCTGTTTCTAGGTGTCATTGTAATAGACCAAGGTCGGGAAAAGCTGACCAGGTGATAATCTGAGAAAACTGGATAGTTGCAGCGTGAACTTTCCAAACACACAAGCCGCCAAAGCAGGCCAACAGGTGATAACTCGAGAGGATTTTAAAGCTATCCTCTGTGACGGGTGTTTAGTATCATCGGCTCGACGCTGGTATCCAAATCGAAGATCAAGAAGAACCTTTTTTAAATAGTCCATATATTATGTGCAAGCCTTATCGCCGAAACCTTAGCCACATCCTAACCTTCCAAGTGTATGTGTAGATTCTAACAGAATGAGCCCTAGCGTATACGGTATATATTTCGCAGCTGGAAGTCGAAGATGGGTCGGTAGGTCGTATCGAGGTAAGCAGATCAAAGGGATTTGCCTTTAAAAAACTTACATCGAATAAATAAAATAACTTTACAGCCTATGTAAGAATAGAAAACTGAACATATAGGGTAAAACATCGATTTTATTTCGCTTCTAATGCTACTTTCGTTCTTGTATGTTTTCTCGTTGTTTCAGGTTATATTTAGTGGTTTTCGTGATAGCTTCGTGGGTAACGTATTTGCCTGCTAATCTAAGGGACACGTTGTGGCCTTGCTTCTGAACCCATAGGGCATAAGCAGACACACGGTGGTTCATTTGGAGTTCCCTAACCGAACGTCTAACGGCAGTACCGGACGTAAAATCTCGAATAAATAGAATGGTTGTGTTTAGTATTTCTAGCATATATGAATGGACTTTTCGATAAAATAACGAAACTAGTTGTTTTATCGGGCATATTTATTGCTATATATTGTTTCGGTTTCTGACTGGTTTTTTTTTTGCAAGTTTTGCGCATACTTAGATTTTAATAATTCTCTTTTTGTGCAGTTCGCCTCGACAATGGAACCACAGACATGTTTCTGAATAAAAGTTTTTTCCTTACGTTATATGATGCAAGCCGCCATTTTCCTAATACAATTATGTTACCATCCTTGGTAATCCAAATATGGCTTCCAGGATGAGCTCTGCTTATTGAAACTTGCGCGATTTGTATGTGCATTCAAAGAAACGTAGACATCTGTGAGAATCCAAAAATTAGAACGTTAAGTTCCGGAGCCTTGTGGTTGGTGGTCATTGTTCATGTTTTCCGTTGTCCCAGATAGTCCGGATGTAACTTAAGCCTCTCGCGTTATAAACCTCAAAAAAAACACATACTTATCTGCTGATAAGGCATGTCTTGGCCGGCTGGTTAGGCTTTAGATGCATTAGGAAACTAATCGATATAACCCCTAGGGTACCTTGGGCCTGGAGGAAATGTACGTTCCACTCGCCTAGCAACACTTGGTAGACATTCCCAGTATACACAAAAGCAATCGGCTCTTTACCTGGTATGCTCGTATGCCGAAAATACAGCAAAGAACCATGGGGTATTCGCACCGTGGTTATTTTGCATTGTTCCTTCCTAGTGACGGAAGTTGCTCTCTTTTATTGACTGTTATTGCTATTTCTTTCGCAAAGCGCTACATTCAGTCGTCATCAGAAGATGACAATCTATTGATGGTCGCGGATCATATCCAGCACTTGTCCCGGCTTTGGCCAATCGGAATCGGCGTCACCGGCGGCTAAGCACTGAGCCGCTTAGCTCTTGTGGCGGTGCATCCTCCAATATCTGTTCGATCTCATCTAATTCATTCACTTATTCGTCCATTTCTCGAACCGTTTGCTCTCTCCCTTGGCCTCTTCTCGGTTTTCTGACATAATAGAACTGGAGGGTCTGGCCGCTCGTTCTCGACAGAACTGCAGCCTCTTGCGGCGCCATCGGGTCTGTACTTGAAACTACAATGCGATGACAAACAGTAAACAGCGACGATCTGCTACAGTGCATCACTGTCACAGACTGGTCACGCTAGCGCCGTCATTACGACCGCTTCTTGTTCATTTTTGCTACGCACAGTCTATGCGGTCTATCTAGCTGATTCTAATGCGACTCGACGACCCCATCAGGGCACTTGCGTCGTCCTCTGTTTGGTAGAATGCAGTAGCCGCGGTCAGGACCGGCGAAATCATGACGATGTCGTCGACGCCACACTCCCCCCTTCGTTTCTGACTTCTGCTTTGGTTCTTCGAGCGTTTCGAAATCGATCTTTAGAGTTAGCAGGGGACAGTGGCAGTGCACTGTGTGAACACCGAAGACGACGACAGCGACAAAAGCAGCAGCAGCGGCGGCGGCGGCGGTGGCGGCGGCGGCGCCGCTGTCGCTGCTGCCACCGTTCCAGGGGTATCTCGGATCGAAACATAAGTTTAACTCTAACGCTTCGCTGCCTTGAACTTGGGCTTGCGTAGAAGCGAGCGCCGCCAGTAGCGTCCAGTAAACGGTGTAACAAAGCGAAATGCAAAATACATTTAGCTCGCTATTGAGCCAATGACCAAAGAATGACTGAAGAGAGCTATCGCCTATAGTCGAACGCATTATCACTCTAGCACCGTAACAGTGTAAGCCACAATGCATGCAATACATTAGATAAATTGTATTATTATAGCCATTGCTTTCTAGCTGCTTGGCTGTGCTCTATGAGCCGCTATAGTTTGCACATAGTACACAGTAGCTTGTTCTCTGCTACAATTTACTCTCCCTATGTGCTCTTGAAATCTTTCGCTTTAACGGGGTCGCATCGATCGCTTGTGCTCTTGCGCTGAAGAGTTCTGACGTGTGTTTGCCTCCCAGTAGAAGTCCCCTCGCCCTCCTTCTTCGCCTGCCTAAAGCTTGTGCCCTTTTTGGCGTGCCGTTGTTGTAAACTGGCCTCTCTTGTACACTCACTTTTCTCCCATAATATGTCGCTTCTTGTACAGCCTGTAGCTAGTATAGTGCTCACAAGGTGGAAGATGTGTAGATCTGCTACGTAGATCTTGCGTTGTGAAGTTGAAGTGGCCCTTGATGGCGAAGTGACGAAGGCAACATCTGTCGTCGTTGAGGGGTTAGCAGCCGCGAGTTAGCGTTGAAAGATATTTAAGCCGTCAAGACTTTGTTTTTGATAAAACATGCTGGTTGACATGTTTATGGTGTTCACTTTCGACAATACGATTATCAAAAATGACAAAACTGGTATATTACATAGGCGGTGTATATATTGTCTTATCTTTCTATTCTTTGCAATAATACGACGTTCGACTGATCGCAAAAATCTGTAGCAGGACCACTCCGAGCAGCCAGGTGTTTCCGGTTTCTGACCTTATGAAATTATCAAAATAATTAAGCACTGGCTTCTCTATCATCTCACTGAGAGTTATAACGATTAAAAAAAAATACGTATTTAAAAAATAATCGACTTATAATTTGAATAACAATCATTTTTGACAGTTTTCAATTACCTGGAGGAGGTTCGAAACGATCAGCTTCATTTTTTCAGTCAAACATAGCTAGAAGAAATAGGGTTTTCAATTATCGTCTCAGTAGTTCCCCTAGAAGCTTTTGCCGCTTTTAGTTGCGTCAAAGACACAGAACGTTGATCATATGTATTAGAGATACGCAGTTATTTTACACCATTAGAACGCACGCTTCCCATTTTAGCGGCTGCGGTTCATATAAACCCAATAAAATCTAGCGCATGAGACTCCGACGTTAAAGAAGGCCGTCCCGATTTTCATTTTTTTTTAATTTAATATACATCCATTCAATTTGTCAAATAGTGTTACCTTGGAATAAACTGCGGGCTAACAGAGAAACTGCTAAGAAATATGCAAATCAGAGCGCGGTTCTGAATAGCCCACGTCGATTTTTCCATTACTCGAGTTTTAACGATATCTATTGAAACATTTTGCAGTCTATTTATACTGAATAATCTCAAAATCTATTCTTCTACAAACAAATAAACACCTTGCTATCAACGACCGTCAAATTTTTCTCATAGAAAATGTCCGCTTCACTTTTAAAAAATATGAACCTACCCTCATTTAGCTTTGCAGAAACTTCATTAGCATTGAAGGTACTCCCTCGATTGGCTCCCCCAATGATATCTTCGTTTTCCAATTTCCATAAACTAAAATAAACAATATCTTGAACAGATACACAAGCGCTTGCCGAGTGTATTTAGTTTAATACAAAAATTATTTTTTATTTAGCCTTTATATTATAGTATCGCATTCCAGATGAACGTCGCTCCGGTGTTTACATCGTATCAGTTTAAATTTTCTACTCGGATTTTTTGCTGTGACCCCTCTGCGAGACAATATGGCTCGAGGTACTGTCCACGGCATATATATTTTCGTCAATTATAATATATAAGGCTTCTATTAAAATGAACTAGGGTGGATGAGATGGAGATAACTCACCACAACGACTTCCGTGCGATACCATTTATCCAAGCTAGAGTTATATGACCTTTTGAGGTAAGTAACGTAAGTTGCCTAGTAGGTTGTGAAGCTGAGAGAAAAAGGGAGAGAGTCTAATCAGAAGATCATCTTTTAGCTACACGCTGCTCACTAAATTTGTTCTCGATAGGATAGGTCATCATCTAGAGGGTACATGCAAGTTATCTTAAGTACGCCCATGATATACTTTCTCTTCTATTGAAAACTAATCCTCAATCTATATTATCAGACTATAGGAAAACGCGACTATTAACCGTCGATTGATAATGTCGGTTAGATGTCGACGATTGAACATGAACATGAACATGCTCATGCCAGGTTCGATCATTTTTATACCATGTAAATTACCTTCTCCGTCATCCGTCATGTTGGATGTCCTTTTTTACTGCAAGGAGCTGCAACAAAATTTATACACGATCATTAGTGATTTATGTCAATTATTGGAGAAATCTGTTTTATCACGCGGTTAGGAGGATTTCGGCAGAAATGGAACATTTGCACATTTACCATTGTGATGTAAAAGCATACCCTGGTGAGCATCTTTGAAACGCATGGATATTCCCAGACGTGACTTCTGTTGTGGGAAAAGTTCATTTTCGTCAGAAAACCAGTGAAACTGGAACATCTAAGAACCGCGATTGAGCCTGCTATTGAATCTACTAATCAAGCGCCACCATCGCTGGCGCTTGATTAGTAGAACAAGAATAATTTCGAATAGCAAATAGAAATTTATAACTATATGAATGTTATAATCTATCAAGCTGTACATAAACTCTGTATCTCCCTTTGTTCTGGAAGCAAATTTTCAGTCTGCCCTGAAAATTGTGGTCCAGAAATTAAAAAAAAAGTACTTTCACCTGTGGTACTGTCGTGTGGCTTAACCAAAGGTTATTTTTCTAACCCATACAACTTATATTACGCAAGGGAAGTGTTTTTTTAGTATCTGTCGATCCAATTTTGACTGGTTGCATTGCATGAACGACTCCTTTGGGAGTTCATGGTGTATGCCGATAACAGTAAAAATAATAACAACACGGCCAGAGTGGTTGGCAAAGATACTGCCGCTGCTTTGTCTCCAACAAAGAAAGCGTCGTTATTGTTTCTAAGCTCGTTAGTGTACATTGAACAGGCCTGTGGCAGCAGTTCTCATCGTTCATCAAAATTTCCAGAACTGAGATTTACGATTGTCCATCTTAATGTCTATTCAGGGCATACAACTATTTCAACTGATTATTAAAGAAATACTGCAAGCTCCTGCTGACGCATACCCTAAACTGGAATTTCCAGCAACCTCTTTGTACGGTAACTTGAGAAAGTTGCAATCACAGAATTACTTTGATACGTATGTTACGTAATAAATAGTTTCCTCAAGCAGCATCGTTACGTTGTTTTCTTCTAGGACTTTTTAACACGCTTAAAATAGAAGTTTAAATTACGCATGTGTTTCACGATGGGCGCTCTTATGGCGACATACTATAGGTGCCCTAACAAGTCAGGAGAACTCACGCCTCCTCATTATGATCCTTTTGATCGGTTCATTTATGTTCCATCCATCGATTGTCACGCCCTCTGGTTGTGGACCGCCGTAAGCGATACCATAGAGAAGCATAAACACGCATTGTATGCGGATTAGCATTATTGGGTACTCCGCTTAAACTGAGCCCATCAACAGGACTCTGACAGGAGGGACTCTGAAGAGAATTCGTTTTGCCTTAATAAGTACTTCTTGATAATATTTTGTGCGTTACGAAATTTATTTCACTACTAATATTTATTCTATTCAAAATAAATATTAGTAATTCAAAATAAAGGGTATATTCATATCCTATAAAGTGGCTATTGTATGTTGTGGTATATGAACTAAAATGCAAATAGTGAAATATTTTCATTGCATAAATAGGCACCATAATTATGTTTTCAGGACAATTCTGTTGGACTAAACACCAAGAGGTAAAAAATTTATAATTTACTATACATAAATAAAAAGGGCTACTACTTCTCTCTGGTTAACTTTACGATGCAATTTGTCATGCTTTATGCTCTGTTGCAATCGTTTTCTAAATTCTCAGTCTGATTTGCATGCTTTTGATAAAAATAGAAATCCTTCTCAAGATTGCTTGGTCACACGGTTGACTTTTAATCAGACAACTTCGTCGCTTGCAGGGAGCGCATAAATAATCTGTCGGATTGAAACTAGCTAGCAGGAACCATTGAGAATTGGTAAAGCTGTTAGGTAAGGAGGCCTTAAGCAAAAGCGCAGCATGCCGACGGCGCAATCATTTTAGGGACGAACACTTGAGCGCTAAAGGTCAGCGAAAAAGTGACCAGGTGTCTGGGCCCGACAGACGCCGCAATCGAGGAGCTTTTTTCACGATGCCAGAGCTTGAAAGAGAGATCTACCGATAAACATTCGTGGGCATTTCACATGTAATATATAACAAAATCATAACCCACACACAGAAAATGCAGAAACTGAGTAAAAAGTTGGTCCCATGTGAATTGACTCTAGGCCGCCCCCTGGCGAATTCTACGTGCATATTGCAGAACTTTGCAGCCGCCATACACGAGGCGTGATTCTATCTCTAGCGCCAGTCGAGAGTGATCGGGTGAGGAAATGGCGTCGCCCTGGAGAGTCTTTCTCTCCAGTTCGGTGCCAATGTCAAGTAGGTTTAGACAGGAGATGACAGTAGTGCTTGCTATAAACAACAGGGGCATCTGCTACTATTCGCCGCAAATGAAATAACGCAGACAACGAGCTAGTCGAGTTTCTCAAAAAGCTCATGCATCTTTGGTACGGCAAAGGTCTGCTTACTTGATGGCAACGCCGGGCCTCATTATTATGCCTCAGTTACGCTGGATTAAACAAGGGCTTCAACCCGCTTCTTCTTGCGATTCAACGAGATATTCCATATCCTAAAAGTATAATAAGTGTCGGCAAGCGTATCCCCATTACCAAGCATATCCTAGCGATTTACTTCAAGAATCCATAGGTAGAATATATACGGGAACGTGAATAGTAGGCATACGGCCGTCCAGAAGCTAACAAAGCGTTGGAAAACGAAGGAGAACACATTCAAAAATTAACGTTGTTATACAAACTATTATTAAAGTTTAGTATTCGCAGGATTCGCTTACAATAGCCCGGCTGTGTCGATTTCTAGGAAATGGGCACGGATAGTGACAAGGTTATAGTCATTTTTATGTAGCAGATATAAACAGTTATGCACTGATTTACCATTCCAAGATTACTAGTAGCAGTGTCCTGCTAGCGAAAACCTGTAATTCTGAGTGGTCGATCTTTGCTATACATTTTTTAGTTCGTCAAGTTTACAAGGAGAGCATCGTTGTTTTACTCTCGTGTTGAGAAATAATCTTTGTCTTGGTGATTCGTAGAGACTTTCAACCACGACGCTTAGTCGAATAGGCGCTCAGCATTATATCTCAGCTGACTCCTGACGCCGAAGTCCAGCGCCAGTAAAGCTGAAGGAGGGCAAACGGACAATACGTTTGTCATGTCGTTGATCAGCCTGTTTCCTTGATGACATCAATTGGACTGACCATGAAAGCGACGAGTCGATTTCGAGCGGTGACAATATCTAGATACAAGCTATCAGAGAGTAGTGTTCACAATATACTGAACCACTATCCAGTCTCCAATAGATTCTGGTGCGAAACAACCTCCCGTATACTCTAAGATTGTCCGTGAAAGTAGAATCAAGGAATAGAGGGACGGACTAGAGGCAAAGGTTCTATGTGAGGCCATTCATAGTAAACGACATGAGCATTGTCTAAGCTAACCAAGGAGAGCTGTCTGCCCAGGTAAATAGGTCCTCGAAGGTCGAAGGACTAGAGAAGGCGAGCGCGGTTTTCGATGTCAACCTGCCCGTCTGGGTAGCAACAATGCACGCACATTCACACGTTCTCTAGTATATAAGCATACCTCGGTAACCAATTGGCTAAGTGAACTACTTAGCGCCATTCATTGGCGACCGTGTGGCGCCAACGGGTCGTCGCGCTCTGAAAATCCATGACAGATCATACAAGGACGAGGTGAACGCATACGGTATTATACATATGTGCGCTTCAGTAGTAGACCTATGACCAGAAACAAACGACGGAATAGGCTCTAGGGAGTACAGGCAAACCGAACTTGGGAAAAAAACAAGCAAAAAATCTCTTACAGGTCGATCTCGACATGTTAATATTGCTGAGCGGTGAAGCACTCTTTCACTTGTTGTCGCTCTTAGGTTCTACAGGCGAATGCTGCTGCTGTCACTACTACTACTAAGTAATACGGAACGCACGGGCAAGAGCTGAGCTGCAAAGTTCTGAACTTGTATGGGGTGTGGTTCAAAAGGTCCAAAGAAGATGCCTGCACTAGATATCTCGTGTTTCCGTACCGAAAATGAGAAATACTAGGCTAGTTATAGTTCCCAGATCGTGTAGCGTTCTCTGCTGACATATCCCTCCACGTAATAAGCGAAGCGCTTGCCCGTAATAAATCAGGCTGCAGAAATTGGCAGAGTTCCAACGGTTGTCCTGCACAGTTAAGTCTAATGTACCTATTATTCGGTTGAAACCCTTTTTTAATTATATATTATTTATCTTCGAGTGTAATTAGTGCGGCAATGATTTGAGCAGGGCCTTCTCAACGAAAGAACGTCGGTTCATCGTGCATAGCTGGTTAGGCACTTCCGTTACTAAACTGTCACGCAGATTTTGTGCTTTCATCAGTTCCTTCGCTCGTTTCAGGTAAAGTATCAATCACTTTTTTCTCATTTGCACTCGTTTGGCGTTATGTGTACGTATGTGTATCTACCTGGTAGCCGGTCTGTCTGTCTACATGTAGTTGCAATGCATGTCATACATACAATGACAGTGGAAGGCGAGGATGGACGAGCGCGTTATTAGTCACGCTGCCAGCACAGCATCACCCCTATAGTCGCCGAGATTTCTATACAGACCAGAGAACTTCTGGAATACTACCTGTTTTTCTTAGTTTTTTCCTCTTTTTTTAGGATATTTTCTAATTCCTATCTTTACTTCTCTTCAGGAATGGCTTCTTCAGCTTCTTCGCACCTCGTCCGGCGCACTCGGTACGAGACATCACGGCGTCATAGGTGTTGAACAGGCAGCGGCGAAGAGCGCAATATAAAGGGCGCAGTGCGCCGTTGGAACAGCCCACTGCGCCCTTTAGCATTGCTCTTTGATGCCTGGCGACAAACTCTAGCAGAGCAGAGCGGACCGAGTTCGATGCTTCCACAATTCATGTTCAATTGTGTTGCAATTCACTAGTTAATTCGTAGCGTATCGGTTCTGCAGATACCGTTACGGTTAGTCTAGAATTGGCGTATTTACTATGTTTGTCACGCTGAAATGTATGTTAGGTGTAAGCCGAGTTTATCTAAAAAAAAAACGAGATTCTATGTACCGTGTGGTTATTCTCGCTTTAGCCAGGCTCAGAAGGTCGTTAGATCCTGCCACACGCGTTTGCACATCTTGTTTCAACAGAGACAGAGTTTGTAGCTGGCGTCATGCGCGTATTTGCAGGATTCCTCAACTCATTACCATTTCGGTAATTGGCAATATTCACGCCGGAAGGTAGAATACGTATCTCCTTTACCTGCCCCGGAGGCCATCGCATATCTCGCAGGTTTGTCCTGACGGCGTTCGGTCATTGAGGCCGGCACCTAGCGAGTGTTAAGTTTATTAACCTGTTAATTCTGCCTTACCACTTCCGGTTGGGATCTGTGTTCCGTTTTTTCTTTAAGTCGAACTTTAGCGATTACTGAACACTGCTCGCAGCTTAACACACTATGCAACATACTATTTCTATGCAAGGTGTCACGCATAGAAAAGGAAAGGAAAAATATCATGCGAAAAAATAGTAATATTACTATGCTATTCTAGAAGCTTCGTTTTCCATTAGATCAAATAGTTCTACGTTTCCAGACCCTATTGGTATAAAGTTTAGCTACGTCTAAAATAAGGTTCTAATGTATTGGATAATCACTCGTAAAAAATATCTCCTAGTGCCGATACCTTCGAGGGCGAGTCTCATCGTTTGCCTTAGCACGTTACAATAATGATACATATATGGACCTACAGTATTATTTAACATGGCGACACCTGTGTACCAGCTACATTGCTTTATTGCGGCAGTTAGCTGACGAAGTACTGTGATCTGCATAGATAAGTACTCCGTCAACTAATTTCAACACATATATTCACCATATACGATTCTTCTACAGGAGTTGTTACAAATGAGACACAGTCAATCGACAGGAAAACGAGGCCTAAATTTAGATTAGGAATCGAAGTTATAATCGTCAGAACTACGAAGAGCACGCTCAGAGACAAAACCAGCACCGCGATGAACTGTAAGGGTTCTCTCTCTAACGAAATTAGAAATAGATTAAGAGATGGATTCGAGAAAGAGCTAACCGCTGAGCAGGAGGCCGAACTCTTAGAGAAAACGGAAAATGAGTTAAATCAAGCGCAAAGCTTGATCTTGGAAATGCAGCAGGCCTTAATCCAGCAAGGCAAAGCAGATCTATCACATCAGCTTCAGGAGCATTACGAAAACATATGGAAGATATTGAAAGAACGAAAAAATGAGGGACACAATCGGACTAATGATGGCGAGCAGATTTGCTTCCCTGTAGCGTTGATCGATGCTTGCGCAGAAATGTACGATCTACTGTTGAACGCCGCTACATCCTCCGGCTCGGAAGGTGCTGCTAGTGTAGATCTGAACGGTAACGCGATTCATAGGAATTGACGGCTCGTGACAGGCTACAAAAGTCAGACGATTTTAAATAATGTCGATGCTTACCCCAGACGCTTACCATAGTCCATGGCGCGTTACATTAAATTGACAAATACACAAATAAACGGTCGAAATGATTCGAATTTGGTATATTCATTACTACTAGATAAAAGGTAGCAGAATACAAAAATATGCCAGTTTTTTTAGTACTAATTTTAGGCTTACCACCTTGGATTTACAAATCAGAAGTATTTTAGGCAGTGCTCGATGATGAGTATACTTCATCATAGAACGGCATGGAAATGCGCTAGTGAGAATGGACGGGTATCTCAGAAAGCAGCTCGGGATATCTGGTCAGGGACCTCATCCCGGACCTTATCTCGATCGCCCAGACGAGAAAATCACTCCATCACTCAAGTCATAATAGGACCAGACAACTTTCAAAGCCCCGTCGGGGATATGCATCTATTGACGATGACTCAGACAGATCTATTCAACATCTGAAGGAGCCAGAAACGCAACGCAAAAAAACAGGACCAAAGACTGCGATTTGAGAATATGCAGCACCGTCGGCGGTCTAGCGAAGTATTACAGCAAACCTACCGCAATGGGAAAAAGTGTAGCGTTCTCTGATTGAAGTCAAGGTCAGTTATTATCTAATAGGTGTGCGGTGGATACGACATACTAAGCTTCTTGAGTTATCTGAAGTCCGCAGCGCATCACGTATACGTCTGCAGAACGGGGTGGGAGAAGATTCCAGCATGGCGTACACGGCGTAAAAACCTTGCAGATTTTAGCGTTGGTCAAATGTCGTCAAAAAAAGTGCAAGTTTGACAATTCTTCTATTTTGATCAAGTCGTTAGCGAAGGCGTTTGGCGCGAGTAGATGCACGATGTCATAGGGAAGACTAAGTATATCATATTTTATAAAAGTGCGACTGATTCTTTTTAAGGGCAGAAAGAGCCGATGGTGTTGTTTGCTCTTTAAGAATAACGCAGCAGGTCATCTTCAGTTTGTCCTGTAAGGGTAAAGTAATGTTCTTCTCGATACGAAGAACATCTACCTGTCTTCTGGCGTGATTTAAAAAATGTGCCTAAAAGAAAATTATCGGTCAATGTTGATATATTGAGTGTGAGATATTATACATTATAACACCGTACTTTTTTCCAGTAGGGCAAACGCATTGATAAAGAAATTTATCTATATTATCTAGAAACTGTTACGTAACTGTTGATAGCGAAACAGTATGAGGGAAAGCTATACGCATTCCCCTGAAATGATGCACGGCCCTATACAAGCCGGTGAGTTTGTATGGTCTGGTGCATCGTACAGTTGGTCCTTGAGAATATAAGCATGTTTCGGAATCAGCCCGTATGGCCGATGAGAAATTTAAATCTAGACCCGTTTAATTACAATGAAAGTCAAGCGTTACCGACTAAAAATTCAAGTTTAAGCATGACAATATCGACTAACTTCCACGTCCTATCAACAAGGTAGAATTGCAAACAGAACGTTTGCGTAAACGGTTTAGGTCTCGAATGCTGCGAATGGTTACAGAGTAAACATGGCTGTCGATTACATCGGTTAGCATGAAACATTAGCATGGTAGCATAGTAGTGGGTTAGATTGGATAGGTAGCATGGGTGGCTAGTGAGCACCTGTCATGCCGTTGAAACTTTGAACTATAAACAAGTAAAAATGGCTAGTTCGAGTCTCAACTGACGAAAATCGTAATGGTGTTTTTGTCAACAATAACGACAAAAGGTTACCAAGAATTTTCTTACTAGACGCAATGACTGAGGCGAGAGGAAGGCGTGAAGCTCATGTATAGTGAATTATTTACGTAAATTTGAGTTTTTAACACCCATGATGTGTTTACTTCAGTTAATGGCAACAAAAAATGATACTGAACGACATTGGTCTGTTCATTCCTCGTACGAGCACTTGGGGAGAACACTTTTCCCTTTCCGCATTTTCCTTGATCAATAATTTTTCCACCTTCTTTTTTCGATAGCAGTATGCGTCCACTCTCAACAGCATTACTGCTACTATTTGTAAACATTTGACCTCCAATACGCTTGAGTTTTCAAGTAGATAATATTCAACCCACAAAATCGATTAAAACCCAACTACAGTTTTACTTTCTTCATAGTTCAAGTTCTCTAAAGAATGTTAGCTACAGTTTGCGGAACTTCGAACTGCTGCTTTTTTGGCGAACCCCGAAGTATTAATCTCTTTAGTCAGGGCATTGTGAACACCGTTTCTATAATTTAAAAAAAAAAAAGCCATACATCTTAGAATTCCGAAAGAAAAATCGCTTATTCGAAACTGAGCCGTGAGCCCATAAGGCGTTCTAATAACTCTCTAAAGCGAAGTTTGACATCTGTGTACATATGTCAGTGGGTCTACCAGCATGGTCCATTCTTAAGTTACTATACGAATATACAAAACGAATTCTCGTTATTTTTATTGCTTCCTTAAATTTATTTTACTGAAAAGAGCCTTTCTATACCATTAATTTCGAACGATGTACCTCCTACGTAGGGTAAGACGACATAATTCAAAACGCAATATTTTCATTGCAGGTGTCGTATCCTGTCGGGCAAGTAATACCAGAGCTCCATTTCATGTGAACCTTATTGCTCAGGGATTTGTTTAGCCATCTATAGGACCCCGGTTTAATTTTCTCACTCTTCGTTTTTCCTTTTTCTTGAAAGTTTTTAACTTGGCGACCTTTTCAAGATGAGAACCTTTAGCGTTTTTCACCAGACTCTGCTTGGCTGGCTGTCGTTTTGCAGGCTCCGATGACGCAACCTGTAACGGTTCTACGGGGCGGTTCGACGTTTCACGGAACATCCGTTTTACGGTTGTTTCATCCACTGGTCCATCGTTTGAATTTGTCCTGTTCGGGCCACTATTACCGCCCTGTAACGTCCGGTGCTGAAGTCGTTTCATATAAACGTGTCTCTGATTTTTTAACGTTTTAAGAAGCGGCATCCTTTGGTAAGGGTTGCTCGACGGCATTCCCTTCCCGTTGTGACCGATTTGTGAAGGTTGGGTACGGAATTTTTAAAATCGTTGTTTCGTCTATCTGTCAGGCTATTTAGGTGAGATATGTACTCGAAGGAAACACGAAATAGATTAAATACAATTGCTGATACAATTGGAACACTCCATTTTGGGCAGAAGTTTTCGTTGAAAGTCGACAATTGTTGCCTTAATAGTTCGTTAGGTATTATCAAAAAAAAAAAAAGAGACAATTAGCAGCTTATGAATGATGCGATCTTTTCAAATCGAAATGAAAGTATATACTTGGCACTTAGCCTAATACCTACAGGAAACAATAGAACGCTCCGATGCTGCGCTATCAACACAAATATATTACGACCTGTCGTTTTGTTCGACCGTCTGCTTCGACCATAGTATCTCGATGAAGGAGCCTGGGTGATCGGTATTGTCACTCTAGCTATTATAGTTGAAGGCGCGAGTCGGGTGCGACGAGTTCTCGGATGGTCTCTTTTCGACGTTTTTGCTTAGTTGTTCGAGCAATGTCAAAGGAAAGAACAAGCTAGTTTCAAGACGGGCCGATTGTTGGCCCGAAGTTAGCAAATGAAAAGTAATAACGTAGTGCATATTAATAGCACTCCAGCTAGTGTTATGGAGGCAGTCGTAATTTTCGAAGCGGATGACAAACCGTTTAATAGGCTATAGTTCACTAGCTGACTGGACCTTCCTTTTTAATACCTACTGAAGCTAGTGTGGGAAATATGTGAGAAATGCTACCATAGCTCTCTGCCGAAGAGTGTCTTCAGTGGGGCGGTTGGGCCACTGGATACGGTGAGCCATTTGACGCGGGAGCACGGTTTGTCGTTTTGAGAAGCAGCTAGGTGAATTATCACCAATGCATTTTGGACACCCCCACAACAATAACGAGAGGCGCAAACGACTTCAGTGCGACAAGAAGATAGAAGCGTCTACTAGCTTCTATTAGTCGCCCCAAGAGGTGGGCGACATAGTGTCTGGAGGCAGGAGCGACATTTTTGTCGTTTTGTGATACACATTAACCGGTACAAATTGATTGACTTCTCAGACAGCCGCCAATGTATAAGTCAATACAGATCAGTGAAGTCTAACTATGCACTGCGAACTATGAAACGCTGTTAACCAGACAGACTTAACCGCACTGGCGCCATCTATGCAAATTATATCTCGTCCGGATACACGTACTAGGATCTCGTCGTTACTTAACGTATTTTCTATTGCCTAATACAGCCATGTTTAGATAAAGCGGTGACCTTTATTTAGTCCTTTTAGCAACGGGAAAAAGAAACCAGAAGACATTCATTCGTTGAGCAAGGCAGTGTTCAAAAGACCAATGTGTCGTGTGCTTAGGCATTCTATAAAGTTTATTGCGAACGTAGGTGATAGGTTTTGGTCGTCGTATGTAAATTTATATACGGTTCGAATAGGAAAAAATAGTGGCTAACATGTTTTGAATGCGTTACGATCATTTGAGTATTTATATTTGTTCAAAATATATTTATATACATGTTTTACATATTGCAGGTCAATAGATTCGGAAGGTCTCGAAGAAGAAACGCACAAGATAGCCAGCCCATCATGATTTAAAAATGACTTCTTTCGAAGAAATGATTGGTGGAAGGGAAACTAGGTGTCCGTTTAACACTGCGAAGTACATTACTGCAAAACGAGCAGGCCCGGATTGTGCTTAAGGAACCTGTATGGGCATAGCGGATCTAAAATAATAGGCATTCAGTTTTTTTAAAAAACTGCCGGACGTATGCATAGCTCTTGTATTATTCTAATATGTAACACGTCGACTTACTCATTGTTTCGAATTTCAAATTTTGATCAGTTTTTTTCACCCGGTTATACTTTTTCTTTCCAAGTGATTTTCCACTAAGGGACCTCAATCATGAGTGGGTTGAAACAGCCGTCAGGCAGGGTCTCCCTAATATCCCTGATGTTGGCGACGTCAGCCTTCAGTGCCTCCATGTCGTCTACGTAGCCCTTCATTAGCTTATTTTGTCTTTCTTTTTCTTGTAGTAGCTTTTTTGTACGTTCGGCGATTTGCCCCCGGGCGTAGTCTTCTTCAAGCTTCGTCAACTTCCGCTCCAGTTCGCGTAAGCGATTCTCATCGTACGAATCTATTGAGTTGAGTTGGCTGAGAATACTTTTTACTTCCTCCAGGGCCGTCGTGGCCTGGTGGATAGTCTCCGTGGCAATGCCTTTGGCGTTACTGACACCCATCGTGACTTCTTCCACTTTGTGATTCTCTTCGGCGGTTTGCCGCTCGAGGTCATCCAGCTGTGCCGCCATATTCCTCATCTCCGAATCGATGCGATCGCTCTCGTGGTCAAGTTCGTTGGCGCGGGTCTGAGCTGCGCGTACGTCATTTGCCACGTCGCTGATATCCTGAAACACATCGGGTACAGCATAAGAACAGTATATTCTACAGATGTGTGTTGTTTGCTAGTATATTGTAGTTCTTAATGTATGACAATACGACTGAACTTGACACTCAGTGCGCCGTTTATGAATATTTATACTAAATACATACGTACACGTGGAAGTAACATAGAGCAAAAGTAAGAAAGCGAGTAAATGTCGTGTACATACAGTCTTGGCCTGCTTAGCAATGCGAAGTGCATTTTCAGCGGTTTCCTTAGATTGTCGTGCCTTGAACTCGGCATCGTTGATCAACTCCTTGACCGCGTTACTTTTCTGAGCCACAGTTCCAATGTTCTCCTCGATACGTGGAATTCGCTTTATATGCTCCTGAGCCTCGTCACGATGCTTAGCGACGATGCTATTAAAGTTTTTGAGCGTGTCAAGCGTGTTTCGGGCGCTATTGAGGATTTCGTTGCCGCTCTTCACCGCAGACTTTGCACGACTGTCCGCGTCCGAGACTCGATCAAGCAGATGATCAGTTATTTGCTGCTGACGTTGGGCTTCTTCAACGATGAGTCGAGCCTCACTTACAGCTTTGTATGCGTTATCAAAGAAATCTTTGTTGGCTAGGTACATCTCATCTGCACTCTTTGCCAACTGGCTGGCCTGTAAACCATGGGCATAATACTGATTTCGCGCAACTTTAAATAAAAACTACACCGGACGGAAGTGTAAAACTTAATTTACGTGCATACGTAATCTTGCTTTAGCTGCAAATCTTCTAAGAAACATGATCATAGATGGGACGCTTGTCATTGATGACTGACACACTGAATATTTGAAGTCAAACTACTTTTTTAAACGAACTGTTCCAGACTGTTTGAATTCGGTACCTTGAGCTCTGATGTAGTAAATGACAAAAAAAAAGATCGATCGTGATGAGGGTGAGCGACATCTGAGGGCGAAAAATAGCATGAGAGTTTGCGTGGAGGGGGACCTGGCTAACTTGATTTTGCAGCTATAGCGCCCCATCACAGCCATGTATGAAAAAATATAGGGCGCGGAAGGAAATTTATAGACTAACGAGTCGAATGCTCGGGGGAAGAAGCATAAGATGGGAGATGTAGAAGTTCTATAAAAACGAGCGAAAGAGAAGAGATCGGGGTGCATGGGAGCAGCGATTAATATTAGGTTACAAAAGCTGGATGTTACGCATTATGTGTAGGGCGCATTTAGAGTGGATTAACTTACTTGAAGGTGTAAATGGCGTGCACGACTGCTTATTCCCTCAATATCTCCTTCCTCGGGCAAAATCGTATTGTTAGCTTCGGTGAGTTCATTAAGGGCAATATCGTGTGCTTTCGCGGCCTCTTCTTGAGTCTTCTTGGCCATCTGCACAGCACGGACCATCATGTTCCTCAAATCGGTCTGATCTTTCTTTAGACCTTGAATAGCATCCGTAGCTCGTTGATGATTATCTAAAGTCTGCTTTGCAAGCGTAAGTGCTATTTGCGATTGGTTTTTCGCCTGAATCGCATTATGCATTGCCGAATCCACGTCTTCCTTCACTCTGAAAAACCAACGACTCATTTAATTTTTGGTGACTACAGTTCTTGTGGGTTTTGTGGAAATTATCTATCACACTTAATCTTTCATCGAAGAACAAATGCCGACACCCGTAGTTTCAAAATCTACTTACTTTTCGACTAAGCCTCGTATTTCTACTGAAATCTGCTGTACTTTAGTCGACTGATCGGACGCCCTTTGGCTTCTCTTCGTCGCCTCTTCGAGGGCCTCACGGGCATCGTTGTCTAAGTAATTATTGACCTTGTTTAGCATCTGCTCGTTCTTTAATGCTGACACATTTTGGTCCTTCGCGTATGCAACCAATACGTGGTACTGTGCCATTGCGTCATCGACTTTCGTATCTTGCTCGTTGAGCCGTTGTCTGATTCTTTGGATGCGTGCAAGGAGGTCTCGGAGTTTTGTGACGAGATCGCTGTCTGAGTGAGCTGCGGTCCTTGCATCCTTCCAGAGCTCCTCTACAGGTGAATTAATTGGCATCAAATGCGAAATTTATTTAATCAATTTAGTTCAAACCCTCACGAACCACCCACAGGTAATATGAAAACTAAGTACTTTAAAGTAGGAGAAACGCGTTGGCTGTGACTGCACAACCGTTTTGATGAGTAAGATAACCTCAGTTACCAACAGCTTGCTTTCTATAACTTGCTTTCTACAACTAGAAACTGACCCTATTTGAGGTAACCATTGAAGATCTTCTTATTGTACCTGAAAAAGCAGAGCGGATATAACGTACCAGCATTGTGGCGTAGCTCCTCAAGTTTCTGGTCAAAATCGGGACTTTTTTCGGGATTGGGTTCCCGCTCGACGTCCTCGAGAAGTCTGTGAATTTTTTCGAGTTTCACACGATGCTTATCTACAGCGTCCTGCACAAGGGTGTAACAATAGTCACAATCCTTGCACATTCCCTGCTCTTTATAAGTGTTATCCTTACACATGTTACAGGTTCGTCCCACAAAATTTTTTCGACAGATACATTGCCCCTCGGCATCGCATTGTGGAGATGATGAACCTTCCGGGTCACAGTCGCAAGCTAAGAAACAAGCACCAGTTCGATTAGAATAGACTGCCTATAGATTATTTACTGTATTATACCGTCGAATGTTGCGTGACCTTACGTAAAACTTATGGATAATCAGGATGGTTCTTGTCCTTACATTAGGTATAGTTTGTACTGCATTCGTTGTAATCAGCTATTAGCCACTACAGACCTGCTTAGACCTTTTGTTGAACCACTGCCGGAGACTTTCTAGGCAACATTAAACAATGAAAATAGAACTGTTAGGATTGCACAACACGGATACAGCTTGTCCTATTTGGGATAATAAGCTGCGCGTGTTCACTTGTTAACTGTATACAGAGCGGGTAAAGTCAATAGAGCGTACATAGTGATTTTCGGAATAATTCCACAAGGTCGAGCATCCACTCACGTTTGCATCCTTCGGCGGAGAATCCATAATGGTTAACTTGGCAGACCTCGCATTTGTCGCCCGTAACACCTGGCCTACAAGGGCACTTTCCAGTGAGGACATCGCAGTTGGTGCTCTTTGATCCGATGGTGTCACAACCGCACGGTTCACACCCACTGCGTGACTGCAGATTCCAATAGCCTTCGCGACAGCGGTCACACTGCCGACCGACAACGTAATGCCTGCAGTCGCAATTACCATGTTCCATGTGACACTCAAGAAGGCCGCCTTTCGCTGTCGAGTCGTCAGTGCCATCAATATGGCAGTCACAACCTGCATTCAAAGGTCCCATGAACGCGTTAAGGACAAATTGCAGATTTGAGTATTTCATCTTCAAATTAAACCAACTCTGCAGTTCTGCTTGAAAAGTGCCTTCTATTTTGAGTTAGAAAGCTAGAAATAAGCTGGTGGTTGGTGTACTAAAAATAATATACATTTTTAAATATTACCGCCGTTGTTTCAGACAATTACACACACTCATTTAGCAATGTGTTTCGTAAACTATAGAAGATGGGATACACCGATTGGCAAAGGTGCCACTCTTCATTTTGCTGTTATTGCATATCTTTCAGATGCAGGACCGTGCGCGAGTGACTAGGTTAGTTCAATGTGTGTCCATGCATTTAGACATTTTCTGCCAGGCTATCGTACTATAGTCCAATCAACATGCAACAGCTGCTATGTAACGTATGTCTGTCTGTCACGTGGTGAAGCTACTTACGGACAGTGGGGTACCTGTAAGGGGAAAGGATGGGAGGAGAGTCCTGGGAAGGAACCTAACGTTGTCAGCAATTAGAAAAATAACAGCTATTTCTCTACCATAGGGTAGCATTGTTCTAATTGTACATGCTCACATAGGCACCTATAGTGCATGCAAGCTTCCACATGTTATGATTGAATAGAAAGATCTTGAAAAATGCAAGTCACTTGATGTTTGCTTTCACTATTACTAGTCTCGAAGCGAGATTGGGGTTCAAGGCATGAGATTATAGAAGTTCTTTGAAGTAGATAAGGGTTTGAGATCACTGACAGCATAGATCTTATTTGAGGGTAGTACTAACGACACTTTAATAAACGTAACCAAACACACTCACATATTATTTGTCAAGGGTTGACCTCCTCTTGACTGTGCTTCATTTTCATGTATGCCTGCTATGGAACTAAAAAGAAACGAGTGCATAAAACTTGCTCTGCACAGACGTAGTAACGGTGCTGAGATCAAAAAACGACACGCACTAATTATTATTACGCTGCTTACTAAGAACGACTACGTGTCGCATGGAGGCTGTATGGCCATAGAGCCAAGCGCGCGCGCATTTTACCACTTCCGTAGTACTAAAGTGCAAAGAGCCGGAAGCTATCAGATCCTCAAGCGTGCGGTCGGCCAAGAATCAAAACCGAGTGGACGACATTGCTTCAGCAGAAAGAAAATGCATTTCAAAGATTCATTCAATGACTACTGTTTGTAGCTTACCGCTGATGTCTTCAAGAGGACCACTACTTACGCTTGCAATCGCCTTTTTTCTCCGAAGTAGCGTTACCATAGTAACCAGGTTTGCAGGTTTCGCAATTTGGACCATATGTGTTGTAGATACACTTGAGGCACTCGCCGGTACGCGCATCGCAGTAGTTGATTGAATTCCGATCGACGTTGTCGTTGCAGGCACAAAGCGTACAATCTGTTTTCTTTCCATAGAGGCCTTGCGGATCTCCGAAATAGCCTTCCGCACATTGTTCACACTTTTTGCCCTTGTAGCCATCCGGGCAGGCCAGGCAAGTCACTGAGCCATCGTCAAGGAGGGCGCATTCACCCTGCTCAGGACAAGGACATGGTGTACAGTCATCTTCTTTGCCAAGCAGAGCATTGCCGTAGAACCGCTTCTCGCAGCGCTCGCAATACGTACCAGTCGTATTATGCTGACAGATACAACGACCTAGAATGCATGTTATGCACAATATCAGTACAATTTATATTTTTTTTAGTTTTTTTAAATAAGTTAGTGTGTAAATCCTATTTACGGGAATTTTTCTTTTCAAGCTATTTTCCCATATATTTTCCAGAGCTTTGTAGTGTTCCATGGCAGTAAACGTACACTATCTTCCGTGCTTTTCCTTCGGTATTTACATTATTATTATTTCGTATTCTTTTTTTTTTTAGAATTACTCAAAGTAAATTGATCTGTAGCAAGCTAAGGGACTCGAGCTGTGTTTATGGCAAAACGTGTCTATCTAGACAAACAATAAGCTTGACAAGCTTCGTAATGTTCGACGGCTTAAATGTACCTCTTAAAATGGCAAAAAGTGTGTAATAGTATCTTCGGCGATCTGACATTCGTTGATTCTGCAGCGTCTCTTCACCGTACAATGCGAACTATAACAGGTTTAAAATTATCGGCTTGCAATACCGGATCAAGTAAACAAGTCTGTGTGTATCTGCTTTGCTACAAACCAGTCTCACTGTCGCAATAGTCGGAATGGCCATGACATTCGCAGGCGATGCATTTAGCGTACACGCCTATGGCGTTGTTGTTCGGATCCCTGCGATAACCCGGCTGACATTGTTCGCAAAACTGCCCGCTGTAGCTATCGCCGCAAGAGCACGTCTCAACCCATGTCGCCGGCTGATGAATTTCAATTGCACAGAGGATCAGTTAAATATCATTGACTAACTATGCATCTGTCATTTGGGGCACCGTCTAGGAGAAATGGCGGCGACGTGAGGCATTTTGTCCACTTGTCACGATGCGCTCAACGGGACTAGGTTGTATTCATATACGGCCACAGTATATCGTTTAGGTGGCTTGGCGAGAGAGATTCTTAATAGAAATATTTTATAATGTAGATTTGTTTCTTACCTCCGGATCGTGAAGCTCCGAGGTTGTATCGGTAGCGGAATCAAGTGACACCTTCTCCAAAAATCCAATACCGTTTCGGAAATAGGTACCACGAATCTTGATACTACGCACATCCTTGAGAAGTTTCATGAATTCTACCGCTGACATCGGGGGTTGCCAACCGAATGATTCATGCAGCTGGAACGTGTAATCTCGACTAATCATGTTTGGGACCGACTGGTGGTTAGCAATAATAGGGGCACGAATTTGACGATTGTCAGCCCCATCAATCACCACGTCAGCACTCGAATATCGCGCGAGATCGTCGCTGATACGTAAAGTAAACCTCAGATAACGATTATATGAGAAGCGTCGGTCGCCCAAGAACATTTCGGGCGCCACGAAATACACAGTTCGTTGATCTTTGGCGTCGACGCTGATAACTTTGTCGGTGTGCTCATAACGGACTGTTACTGGATCGGAATACTCGTCCTCTGCTGTCCATTTCTCCGGACCTGTACATTTCGCAAGCCATTAGAATTAAGGCTCTATTCACTAATTTGAGGAATATTTGTATCGGGTTTGTTTTTTGTCTGACGACAAATAAGCTGGCTAAAACAGCTGCTTCAGCTCAGCCGGCCATCAACTTCCAACATGGACATGTTTGTGTTACATGCCAAGAAGATACGAACAGAAACCATTAAGCAAATCTCAGAAAAATATATTCTTATTTGGCGTGTCGTATTCCTATATTTTATCAGTAGTTATTATCCAGCAGCTAGTAATTTCCCCTAAAGCTTTTTAAAGCATGAGATCTACCCGCTGACCCATTTATGTCTGCTTACTATTTTAACCGTTTGGCTTTGCAGGACGCTGTCTACAGGACAGCACTGCAACAATCGACAGCGACTGCCAATTCAGGGTTGACATTTTTACACGCACAGACTGATTTGAAAATTTACGGTTTACCGTGTGTTTGTCTATGAATAGCACGACAAATTCTAACTAAATTTTTTGTGCATCGTAAGAATATTTCCTATCTGTTACCTCGTTTGAATTCAGATTGAATTGTCGTTTTAAAGTAGGAGGTGTCTGATGTACAAATAGCAGAGTGACCGTGGCAGAAACAAGCAACACAGCCTCTGTCATTCTCCTCTTCCAGGTTGAAGAAGCCAGGTTTACATATATCACAGCGCTGTCCTTCGACATTTAATTTACATGAGCATTTTCCTGTATGAACGTCGCACGAAGGTGGGCTGTCCTTACTTCCAGCTGGATGACACTCGCAGGGTCTGTACCACAAAGTTTACAAAGAAGCAGCTATTGGCACAGACATCCACTACACGTTTCTAACTCAATGTACTACCTTCCTTCTACGTTCAACTGCTACAGATATTTTCACTGAGGACAGTTGCTCAACAGGGAATTGAAAAAAATGTTCGTCAAAAAGCTATAGAAAAACAGCCGGAGGAACTCGCAAACGGAATAGGTCCACTATGCTAAATGTTCTATCACACATAGAGGGAACAGATTCAACGTTGTATATCGTTGCGACGTTTATATATAGAGGGGAGAGCTATGCAAATAGATCTTGTCAACACAACTACCATTTTTTTCGGCTATTGCATAGACTTGAAAAGTGTACCTTTTGTTCTCCATAAAAACCATCACTTGAAATTAGCCTGCCTAAAGGATGTAAAAGAGAAATGGTATACTTACAGGCAGCCGTCCTCGGAGAACGCGTAATGGTTCTCAAGGCAGCGATCACATTTTAATCCTCCAACACCAGATTTGCAGGGGCACTGTCCATGTCTGTCACACTGTAGGTGTCTTGAGCCTATGATTTAAGGGTTAGGACATATTGTGTTTTGGGCGCAAGGCAAGCAAAAGCGGGCAAGTATCGTTAGACCCACCACCATCATCATCATCGTCAATTACCACCGTCAATGAAAATGAAACTGGGTTGAGTGCATAAAGGTGCCACATTGCCCCGATAGGTGTCAAGCAAGAAAACACATTTTTTCGATAGGTGACGAGTGCAAGCGTTGCTTTCTTAACGTTTATCATGATACAACGCCTCATTTACAAAAGAGTGCATTTTACAGGTTGATGTGCTCCCATGCCGAGGTATGAGTATCCAACAATGTTCCCAACAACAAATGATTCAAGTTCTATAATTTCATGGACACGATGGTCACACAGTATCTACGTTTTTGTTTTTAACTTGATGGTGTTTTCTCGATTCTCCAGTGGAAAAATTGTTGTCCTTAAAGGATAACCGACGTTTTTCCAAAAGTCGAAGTATTATGTCTGGTATCGCTGTTAGCCAAGTGAGTGAAACTGCTTCCAGTCTCACTGTTGCAACGGCTCAGTTTTGCTTACCTTTTTCGTCGCAGTTGCATGGCACGCAAATCCCTTGATCATTCAGGTGATGATTATCTTTGCATTTTTCACAGTTAACACCGGCAGTGTTATCCCGACAGTCGACACAACGACCACCGTTGCCAGTTTGCTTGTAAAGTTCACTATCAAATTCGCATTTGTTGGAGCGTCCATTGCAGAGACACCCTGAAATCAATAAACAAGATTTTTGAAAACAAATAAAATTTATTACACGATGTTTTGAATTTACTTAGTATACATGACGAAGCGTTAAAGGTTAAACACATTATCATAGGGCCGACACAACTCTGAACGACTCTCTTTACGACCCATAACAACCCGTTTGCAAATCATCATTCATACATTAGACGTACAGAGCTCCGGACGGTTTAGGACACCTTCGGATGAGGATTTCGTTTTTGTGCGTATACTGTATAGGTCAGAGGTGAGCTCACTTCGATGATCGCTTGGATAGCCGGTGCGTGTCCTTCGATACTCGTAGGAGTGTTCGTAATCACCAGCACAAAGCCCAGCCACTAGGATAATCACAACAAAGACTAGAGGCCACTTCATACTTGCCTCTATGCAATAAGAGTTCCACTAACCGTTCACCGGCTAACGTAAGTTCCCACCATCCAATTCACTAGCAGTAGCAAAGGTTCTAACGTACACTCTAAGAAAATGCCTTGCATAGATACAATACGACCTCTGACCAGCATACGCTCAGCTGTACCCAGCTGTTGACTATGGTACAACTGGGCTGGCGGGCCGAACAACAGAAACGCGACTGCTGGCAAAGTAGCGATTTAGCGGTGATATGAAGATCGGCTGGTGCGTCAGCGCTTCGTATACCGCCCACGCCGAGCCCAAATCAGGAGGAGCAGCCACTCTGAAGCAGAAACCGATACTATCTGAAGTAGTAGTGAATTGCTTCGAAGTCGATGAGCCGAAGGGAGCGCAAACAGTATGCAGCATGGGTTTAACTTCATCGCAGCTAAATGACATGAAGATCAAGATAGCCTACACCGGACGACAACAATGATATAGTGCATTCTCTTTTATTTTCTTCCTCTTCTTCTAGTAAACTTTTGCTACGATTTACTCACGACCTTCAAGCCTCTTTCTCCCCGCTTCTGTCGATGAATCGTTTCTGTCTCTAGATACAGCATAACGATTTTAGTCTGCTCGGTATTTTTCTACCGTTCAGCAAGCAACGTTCACTTGCGTTGGCATGCACGAACTGTATAATACCATGGCTTCTACCCTGGCTGCGTGCAGAAGTCCTTTGCTTGGCCTGAAGTGGCACAAGAACACCGTCTTATAATTATAGGACGCTCTCCGGTGACTCTCGCACGCAGGCTGATTCTAGTGAAAATTGGATTGTTTAGATGCAAGTTTCAAGTGTTTGAAGGAAAACACAGTATTTTTTAGGTATATTTTATGTGGAACCTTAGATAGACACTCCGAAGCAATGGTCATTATCGCAGTGTGCGTACGATAATGGCAATAGCTAATCAAAATTATTGAATATAAAGTTGTAATTGCTAGTTTCCTTTATACTTAGCTAGCTTTGATGCGCTTGGAAAAACTATCCATCCATATCATATCACATCATTCACGTGTATCATCACCACATCATTACCTGAGCCCTAGGTAAGGGATCATGCACATAAATATACTCTTAATGAGACCTAATCAAACTTAAGTTGAATTTCAGTTACATCATAATGAAAAAACTATAAGTTAATTTATTTACAAATTCTAACTATCAATCGGACTTTTACTCACTCTGGCATTCATTAGCATTTTGGGTCGTAGCCACTGCCCAGGGCCGATTATTATAAAGGGGTTTGCACATATTGCACTGCTCGCCCATCGTGTTATGCTCACACACGCACAGTTTTTTCCCCGGTACTGTGCGATCATCACGACACTCTTTAGCATGACCGTGACATTGACATCTGCAATTTCATCAGTTAATACATACATTAACGATAACCATTGTAGTAGGAAAAATTGAATAATTAGGAATTTAGAATAAGCAGCAAATTATTTTGTTTGCAGTATAATTCGATTTATTGTACAGGGTCTGAATAACCCCTCCACGCTGTCATTAAGGCATTCTAGAGAAGCAATAGGCTACTTGGGTCTGGTTTGGGCATTTGTTGTGATTTGGTCGTGGACATATTTAGCCATCTCTTCGCCGAGCCCTCATACACAGGTGACAAGAACACATGTTCGACTACTTGATTCTTTCGTCGACGTTAAACTTGCGATAGTAACAAACCTGGCACCTATTGAGAGATCAGATATTGCATAAAAGTATGACTGAAGTACTGCTGTCGCCTTGAAGAGATCATCACCGAACGTGTTAATTCGTAATAATGAGATGCGTATTTGCTCTGCCGTTAGCCACCGTTCCCGGGCGAGCACTGTGCTATCGTTAGCGATTTCGTATGTGTCGCTACGCAAGTCCAAAGGTCGAAAAGCCACGGTACCTGTTGGGAAGAGATCGCCGAAGCATCTAATAGTAAATTCTTTTCACCTACAGCCAGCTCAGCTATTCTATTAATAGCAACGATATTTTATATATATATATATATATATATATGAGTATATCTAAGACTTAATTAACGAAAATTTATCTATATTTACGCGTATCAAATAGTTTGGGGCGAAAGTTGTCAGCTGTGGTTATTAAGAGGTTGTGTCAGCAGGTTAATTAAGAGGCTGTGCCATGATGCTTGAGCAACTCGGTCGATATTGTGGCTCACGAATTTAAAAAAAAACTTTGAGACGATGACTATTTGCGCATTTTAACGTAACGTTCCTAGAAAAGTTATAAGCAAGCTGTGACAAATGACAGTCAGTATCTATTCAACGAAAAATTACTTTTTTTTTTTTCTATAAAGCGACGTGGTGCAGTATTATGCTGCCGCTGTTGTTCGACTCAGTTACGCCTGTTGATATGAAGCAAATGGCGAGACAAGTTAGGGCCCTGGATGGACCAATCAATGCAGCAACATTCGTGATAAATTCATCTAACGTTAACTTGATTAGTTACTGTACTAATAAACTGTTCAATGTCAACACAGAAGTTATACGTATAGACCATGGGCGGCAAGTTGATATGACAACACATAGATAGGCTAAGCCAAGGTGATACATGGGTACGCAGTGACAATTAGACGTTTTCCTTTTTTAGGTTAAAGTCTTATGCTTTTTGCAGACCAAGCTTCACCGTTAAAATACTTGTATGGTACTGTGGGAGTTGCACCCACTAAACTCGGCACCCCGTATGCCTAACCCTTCGGAACTAATTCAAATATTATTTCAAATTAGAACTTGTAGGGACGGCTAGTAAATTTGCTAATTGCGTCTTGGCCTGTCCTTCTTTAGGGATCCCCACCTCGCCGGCAGCGATAGTCTCGTTAAACCTCTCTTCCAACATACCCGGCAGCGCAGTGGTATACTGGGCACCCTGGCCCATGAGAGGCCGTAATTTCAGGTCCTGCGAGGCCATCGCTTGTTTGGCTGATCAGCTGTTTCATTTTTGTTCTCTTTACCGCATCCATCTCAACGACTACATTTCTGGCAATTCGTTGTCTTCAATGTTCATTCATTTAGCAAATGTGCCGAACGAAGCTGCGGAAACCGTTGCCCATCACTTGCGTGAGCTTCTGCTTAGCGGTCCGGTTCCGCACCAGTTCCAATGCAGAGCAACTCATCAAGGTGTCCTTGTCGTCACCTTCGGTGTTGCTGCTACAGTGCGCCTAAATTGGCAGAGCCGCCATGCAAATAATTGCGCAAGTTCTCGTGTCTCGTCAGGGATAGTATCATGCTAATGCCTTTCCGCGCCTGTTAACTTAGCCCGCGATTGATTATTGGGATTATGTCCCTGATTGCAGTTTTCGGTTTCCGCTTGCCGAACAGTTATGCTTGCATCTCTCAAATAGTTTCCTTTGAAGCTAGATAGGTGTTGTGTATTATTAGTCGGTGGTATGCGTAAAACACTACTAAAAACCTTCACAGTGCCGTAGGCATATTCCTCAACCGTTATTCAGCGAATAACATCCGAGTATGAGACAACGTTTTTGCTCACCCTAAATCTAGATGGACTCTATAGCTGTATTTTAATTTTGTTAAACACTTACAATTAAGAACATATCCTCTATTTTTAGTGTTCTGATAATAACCAATTGAGAATTAAGTTTTCTCAGCACAAGTAACGTAAGCATTGTTTGAAAAAAAAAAAACTTTCTTGCTGTTTTTATCTTCTAGATGCCTACTATTTGACAACCTTTCCTTTCACGTAAGGCTCGCGACGTACCTCCTTGAAGGGGATCGAAAAGGCCTTCCGAAGTGCAGACTGCCTTGTTGTCCAAAGTGCTTCTGTAAATTCGCCTCGATATATCCTCCATTTTGAAATCCTTCATACAGTCGTGTGAAAAGTATTGGAATGGTTCCCATTCGCTCTCGCGATTGTACTTCTTGTAGATAACAAATGCGTACGGGCTAGAAGCGTGGAACTGCAGGATAAGGTGATACACAAGGTATGGACGTTCTGAAAACCGAACACTTCAAGTTGAATGATATGCTTTTCGTGTACTTCAATCATCGTATGCCGTATTAGTCGTATATACTAGTAATGCCCAGCCACAAGTGTACCATATGAGCACAAATATAATAGGGTGTGAATTTACAAAACAAAAGAGACTAGACTATCGCAGCGTATGATTACTGCATCAAAGGGAAGCATATATATATATATATATATATATATATATATATATATTATTGATTTTTTTTACGTTGCTGCATACATTTCCATATATATATATATATATATATATATATATATATATATGGAAATGTATGCAGCAACGTAAAAAAAATCAAAGCAATTGTGAAAATTGTACACGTTCGCTACGAGACTCTATAAACACAACATGTTCAATTTAGGATACCTCCCCGGATATGGTACACTCAATATATTATCTTATCGTATTAAAATAGCATGAAGTTGATACCTTATGTTTGCATAGTCATATTAAAGTCTGTGCAGATGTCCATTTTTGTCCTAAAAATTATTGTGCATAAAAACAGCGCAACGGACCCACTCATCTATTCCATAACAATTATTGGGTTTAGACTTTTGCCGTCAAAAAGCTACAGAACAGGATCGCACAAGTATTTGTATACCCTGTTGTGACAAACGCTGCCCTGTCAGGAAATCCGCATTACTACTACATTCTACTCCCGTTATCTAGTTCATTATTATCAAATTATTCTATATCATTTCTGGTAGCTCTGCGTATTTTGTCCGGTTTAGCAACAGCAGATCCATTTAAAAGTCGAAGCTGATTATAGAAAATGTACGGAAGCTGTTTATGAGGAGAACCGAGACAGGTAAATTTTTTTACTACGTTTGGACAAGTGTTTGCTTAAAACGACGTGCGCATATGGGGTTCGATTGGCCTATATCTCGCCTGTACACTAGGAGTAAATATGTATCGCATCACGACTTCAATTTACGTATGAGTAGTATTAATAAACCCCCGTATAGAGCCCGAAGCGTATCGTAGGTGAGCTTCGTACTATTTTGGGTTTGGGCAAACCCAATGAAAAGTGTCCCGTGCAGAAAGTTGGAAGGGGACCAGTTCATGAAGATGATGATGGAACCGATCCCGAAAAGCTAGTGTCCTTTTTAGTTTTAAGATTAAGACTATCAATGTGAATTATTACAAACATTAGTATTCCGAAAATCTTCATATAAAGTGCAGGATGGGGCCATACTTTGTATAATCGGAAGTTCAGTAATTAAGGCCGACAAGCCAAAGTCTATGGAAGCGCTTAACCGGAAATATAACTGACATTATTGGAATGGTTTCAAGGTGTTTACAATCAAGTTTCTTTTATGTCAACGTGTGTTTATGTGTATAGCGGTAATCGTCCACATTTCAGTTATGTTGGCCGAGACTTTGACATTTGAAAAGGCATTATGGCGGCCGTTTGTTCATTGCTAAATAATTCATCGAATTCGATTTACACTGAGCACTAAATGGACTAATCCATAAGTACCGGATGTGTAAGAATACGTCCAACACGAATCCGCCATGAGCACCGCGTAAACAATACTTCCTGTCTTGACGTTTATGACGCCTGACTCATTGACACGCCCTTGGATGGTATCGTATAGAAAGAAATCTGGGTCGATGATTGAAGTTTGATTATAGATATTCATTAGTTTATTGTTCACATTGTGTGTTACTGGTACACCGATTCTCTGCTATCGTAAACAGTTCTATGTATTTATAAGCTCTGCACCGAATTGGGCTAAAATTTCTCAAGGGAGAATTAGATATCGATCTCTCTTATCATTGACTATTAGTTTAAAGGATTTCCTGTAACGCGAATAAAAAAGGGATTCGGTAAGAAAAATGCTTTATTATATATATATATATATGGGCTAAGTTTTTGACGGTGCGCAAGTTTAGGATTTTAACCCCATCCCCCAGGATCAATTTTTGCGCTAACTATTCAACGAACACACTACGATAATTCGGTTGCTCACTACATACTATACATGTGCGCTAAGGTTGAATGATTTCATATTCAGTATAACTAAATTCGTTTCCAATTATTCTACGGTCGACAAACTATACGATCGAATCAAGAACTCATACAGCGAAGAAAAGGAAGCTTATAATCAAAGTCGGTGACATTCGCATACTAGTATCCCAAGGTGAAGCCATCTTCTTCGAACCAGTTTAGCATCACCATGTCATCAAATCAAGTTTCCGCGCTTCCACACGCGTAGTTCGTGGAACTTCCTAAACAAGGCGATGCTTACACCGCACCCGTTAGTCGTCTCCCATTCGAAAATAGTGCCGTAATCGCGTATAGTAGTGAAGCTATTCATCGTCTGGGTGTACAACTCGCGCGCACGCACGCACGCACGCACGCACACACGCACGCACACACCCAAATATACACCGTGATCCCTTTATTCTCATGGCCGTCCGTAATTTCCCCTTTCAGGTATTACCATGTGATTGTTTTATCGCTGCAATTCCCGTATCACCCCCGCCAACGACGCAACAGGCGGTACGAGAGCATGGCTGTGACTCTGCATGGCGGCTGTTGGTGATAATGAGCGTCGAGACACGAGATTCATTCGTTTGGGATGCCCAACATGCCGTTTGCTCGCTTCAGCAGGAGCGGGTTTGCTGGCTAGGAAATCATAGCGACCGTCGAGAGAAGAGAGCTTTGGCCATCGGCCATATTGTCACGAAATATTGTCGAGGTTTCTAATGAGATAGTGCAATGACTGTGTAGGTGCCTTGCTGCTTATTCGGGACACGGCGAGCAAAAGCATAAAGTTAGAATATACCGTGTGCTGCTAATACTGCTGAGTATTCATGAAATACACAGACAGGACTTCTTTCTCTATTGCACGAGTTGGAAAAACCTCAACTGTCTTTGTCATGTACGGTGAAAAAAGTTGGCAAGTATTATAGCCTCGCTTTGGAGGTTGATCTAATTAGAAAACTGTTCCAATCCGTTTCTGCTGCTGTCTAAGTGACCTTTCACTTTAATGAACCGCATTTATTTCTTTATTTTAATCAATTACGATTCAATAAGAGACCCAATTGACACGAATTGTGCTATTTCGATCAAAAAGAAAAACACGGATTTGGCTCAAAAAGACGCCGTATATTAGCTATATTACGTTTCGCTAGCTGCACCAAAAGAATGAGAAGATTCGGGGCACGCAAATCGAATGAACCTCTCAACTCGAGTAATCCAGAGATGAACAGCGTTAACTTCAGTAGTTTTTTGCTCAATTTCTATAGGTAATTGATAACTAATGTTCAATTTCAACATCATTTTCTTTGTATAATTTAACAATAGGTATCATTGAACGTTTACGGCAAGCCGAGTAGCAGGTAGCCCCGTTTTTTTCTTTGCTATGCCCATATTTTCCTCGTTCGTCATTTTTTTCACATCTCACGAAACCGACGATGGCGGATTACTCCATAGGGTCTAGGGATTCGATATCTGATTAACAACGCAGCGCCTTCGTTCATTATTGCAGAGCGCTAACGTTCATCAAGCTACTACTATCGGAACAAATCGTCCCCGAAGTGCCCCCCATCAGACCGGTCTCTTGCCCGGCTATATTTAGGTATATCCTTTTAGCAGTTGATGGTAGAAGACCTTTTCGACACTGTACAAGCCTCTCCCGCCTTTGTTCCAATACGCTTCTTGAACGAAATGCGTTTAGCTTTGTTCGTGGCTGACGGTTGGCAAGCTCGACTGCTCCATCGGCTATTAGTCAATACGTGTCTCAAAGCATCCCGAAACAGGACGAGCAGGGCTACGACGTTGTCTGGAAACCCGAGGCTTCCACGAAAAAGGCGACATCGTTCGAAACAGCGGGCTGCAGGCTAACGCAATGATATCGTAGCATTTAGAAGGCTGCGCTTGTACGTCCGATAATTCTATACGCCGTTTTCGATGCTTCGAGGAGAGCAAGCTAGAGTATACAATCAGTCCAGCTATGAAATGTATTGCTGCCGTGAATGAAACGAGTGTCGGCCAATTGAAAGACGTTGGAATTATTTTCAGTTTTCTGGACCATGTTGTACCAGGCCTGTAGCACTAAATGTACAATGTTTGCCATACACGAAGTGTTGTCAGTATCGCATATAGGAGATTCTATGTTCATGTGCGATTGAGGGCAATTGGGCTTTAGAAGCCTCGGCGTGTATTGATTGCCAAACGACTATTCATTACCCCAACGTCAAATGTACACCTGTAGACCTGAAGCCGGTGCACTGTCTGCAAGGACCGTGTAAAAATTGTCGCCCACCTAGCTCTAGTTAAGGGTGTTTTCTGTTTATGTAACACAAGCAAGCCCAGAGCACTTTGGACACATGTCGCGTAGAAGGGTCTCAATAACTCGCACAGAGTACAAGTTAACCTTGTAAAGACAGCTGAGTTTTAACGACAACACTGTAGATGTTGCTTCGCATGCTTCTTGGAAGCCTTGTTTATTTGCAAAAATGAAAAATAGATTTATCTATAAACGAACATATATATATATATTGGGTACGGACTTCAAAATTTATTTTACATTGTAAATTTCTTGTAGTGCTCTTAACTCGTCCGAGGGAAGCGGACGGCTGAGGGGTGCGAACATGGTAAATATAAAAAATTGCTACATATTTTACTTACTATTCTGCTTAAGCGTGCTTATCATTCATCAAGTTCGTTAGCCATGACCTCGTATCTCGTAAATGTAATACATTTACGAGACTCAAAAAAATTCACCAAAAGGGTACTATTTTCAAGTGCCTTTTGCTAAATAACGGTTAGTCTATTTACTATATCTCCTTGGTGTTGAAAAGTTAAACCATTCCAACTACAACTTACTATTCGATAAATCAACTATAGAAAATAGAAAATCTCCTAGCTTCTCTTGTCAAACTGCGACGGTTATACGAGATGATAGACTAGTTTAAAGAAACGTCATACTGGTAAAACATCTCGGTACTGTAGTAAACACAAGTTCAGTCGTATTAAATCAGAGTCTCGAAACTCGACGATGTTTACCGACGGCAGATCTTCAGTGTGATTAATCTTTGTCTTGAACTTAATAAACCTCAATTTCGTTGAAAACAACAAAACATAACTTCATAACCATTCCCTAATCAGCTTCCAGTTACATCTACAAATCGGCTACATTCTAGATATTACTGTAAAAAGTATTACTGCCTCATGTGAAATTTTGGCCCTGTTCTATTGATTGGTTTTGCATGAATAAAAGTTCGTAATATCAAGCTGAAACCACTTCTTAGACTAATCCGGTCAGTTTTAGGCTGTAGATGTGCAAATATTTCCTCTACCCCTTCCTAGCACGTCTGAACATAAAAAATAATGCCAATTCTGTGCTTCCAGTAGCATCCCGTGCGAAAATTTTCTACTTACGAAAATCGATGGTCAGATTAACCGGCCTATCATCGACGTTCTCCTGCAGTGTCTCGCTCTGCCACCAAGTCGAATTTTCGATTCCAGCAAAGTCTGTGATATATCTGCTCGAGTGCGAATATCGCTCATACTGATTGTCACAGATCTCACACTCTAGATAGGCCGTTTGGTGCGGGTTCTGGATGCAGAAACGCTGGCGGCCACTTACACCGCACGTATTTGTAGCAGTAACTTCACGATTGTACGCCACATTAAGAAACGGCGGCAAACACCGTTGGGGCAGGGCTTGCGTGTTATAACACTGCTGCCGATCTTCCTGACCTCGTGCGCTTGTAATTGTCGACGTAACAGTAACAACAGCAATTAATATCGGCCGGAATTGAAATAGGCATCCGGGCTGATGGCAACGGCTATCGTATCCAACCATATCGTTCCGTTCAGATAAGCATCCCGCAGTAGCAGAAATAACTACAAGGGGCGAGTGGATAGTTCCAATGGAACACGACCAGGCACCGTATTCTTTTTACACTTAGAGGAGACTGTAGGATCGGTTGAACAAATGTGGAATAGAAACGCTGCTATCCAGCGGCGCCTCGTCGACTGTTTGCTCGAGCTACTCGGTCGGGGTAGATCAAGCCAAGGGACTTTTCCAAGAGTCGAAGAAGCTGAGAGAAAGTGGTCGAGAACAAAATTGTTAAATGAGAGAAATAAGCTGAAAGAGGAGCCTGCAGCATGAACGGAACGAAAAGAGAACGCTGTCGTCCCTCTTCTATATGCATGCACCCCTCTCGCTTACTGATTCTGTTGCTTCGAGAGGTCGCTTGAAAACGGGGAGGCGGCTGCGCCGCTAATCGTCAGATGGCGCCAAGCGCTGTTCCACAATACGCGACCCACACATACAGACACACACACATTTATATATATATATCTGTAGGGAATAGTTGTACTTAAAACGCTTACACCGCATCATTCACGCCAGGGGTATAAAAGCAACAATATGAAGACAACATCTGAGAAATGTATTCCATTTTCATCGAACGCGTGAATCACTGCATGGGCACGCTGAGGTCTTGGAGCATCCACAATACCTTTTACAGATTTTGCTGTGAGGAGGTCCTGCTCATTTCAAAAGCTTGTCCCTGTGCACTACCGCCTGCAGTTGAGACACAGCAAGTAGATTTCTCGTTAAAACCTCACCAGGACAAAATGGTATTGGGTAACTGTTTGCTGCTATAGTATATTGACCGTCTTTGGCATTCGGTTCGACACGGATATATCTGAAGCTTTGGAGTGCGGAACACTCTCTAGAAACACTTACATCTGAGTCATTTACAAATGTGGAATTGTGAAGTGCTGGGTTCTAAGCGCGTGCTGTGATCACGTCCTAACACTTCGTCGGCCAATAACTCTAACCTAAACAGGCAACATACTATAATACCAAATATGTTTATACAAAAAAACTTCTACAAAGTTAAATGTCACGCGAAGTGAAGTTGTCCGCCCACCTGGAACCATTACGTCATAAATAGACAACTTTATAATAAAGTCTTTTTACGATTTCATGTTCACAAGTTTGAATTTTGCCGGTGAAATGCAGAAAAAAGCCCAGTTAGACTGGCTTCTTCTTATCATATCCAGCGATCATAATCTCCGATCACATGAGGCGCGGTTAAGGCTGTGGATAAAACAGTTGTTTCACACCCGTTGGAATGTGCATGCGAGCTCTTTTAAGACAGCGAACTTATATAAAAGGAATCCGAATACCCCGGTAAAATACTACCCCTTCAAGGCCCAGCACGAACAACCACGCTACGACAAATACACCTGTCAAATGGAAAACTACGTATGTTCTTGAAAGCTTTTGTGTTGGTTCGTCCTATAAAGCGTATTTGCAAAGTTTACAGTTAAAGAAGTTTCAAAATAGCGATTACAAAAACGCCCACGGAGACATTAGGTCAGAACTTCCTTAAGCGGTGTCTTATCGGCTAAATACTCAAGGCGGTCTTGAAGGGGAAGCGGATCGTACGCCGTCAGACAATGGCTGGTCAGACAATGGCTAGTCGCTTTCTAGCGATGCTGCCAGCTCACATAAGATATCGATAAGGGTTGAGAAGTCCATGATTTTTTTCTCGCATATCAAGCATTCGTTCGATTTGAGAACCGCTTCCAAATAGGCCATCATTTTATAATGTTAATACATCAGTCCGGAAACCACGTCTTAAACTATCGCAGATTTAGCTACAAACTGGTGGTAAATGACCGCCTTAAGCTACCGTTTGGCAGATAACATCAGCAATGGCTTTAAATTTTTTTGTTGCAGACACAGACAATACTGATACTTCAAAAACGCTTTTCATGCAGAGCCTCTGAGGAACTGTTCACGAGTAATGCGTACTAATTGTTCATATTTGAAGCAAAACCCGATTTAGCACGAACCCCCTCCTCGCAGCTACTTTTGCCCGACCAAGAGGACGCCGCCTATTCCGAAAGGCGTTGAGAAATCGTGGCGTTACTAGCCATTCGAGATAGAAGAAAAAGTCCTCAAGATGAAAACTTTTGTCCTTCTACAAAAACTCTGCATAGCCCAATACGCTAAGTCGTACTGTTGTTGTTTTATAAAAATAGGACAACCACGACGGGGCGTAAAGGAAAAGAACTTGACAAAATCATACTTGTATTGAATCATATGCTAGATTAACTTAGTACCACCGCTAAAAGGACGCTCAAACTTGCAGTAAGAGGTTCAAATCTTGGTCTTTATACCCTATCATAAGCATCAATTTTACTAGATGCTACATTCTCTAGCTGTACATAGTTGTAAAATTTTTCTAACTATTTGTTCTAACCAATTTCCTTAACTGTTTGTGCTATTTCACCTCGAATCCTGGCTGGGGGGTGACTAGGGCTGATTTCTACGTTTGCCAACACCGCTACGCCTCTGTTAGTGTCCTGACACAGTAAAGGTTTCTGCAACTGCGCAGCCGAATGGAGGTGCGTATTCAGACCCAGATGCGAACCTTTAGGGTTGCGAACGGGACCTGCTCTCACGTGGCTAACAGCCTGGATACTAATCCTCCTTAAATCCTTTTAGCGTTCTTGAGTGTAATGAATCGCAATTCAATTGGAGGTCGAGACTGACACGGGCAAGAGACATATACATGCCGACAGAGAAAACGTAGGTAAGACTAATTCACGTGTTTGAAAGTAGGCGCAGTGGAAACACTCATAAGCCTTTTTTAGCTAGGACCTTAACATGAGTCCATACGGAGCAGTGGCGGCCACAGAAGCCTTATATTATTACTAAATTATTTTCTAATATTTCGAACATTCAGTGTAATTGTAATCGAAGTGTAATTGTTGGGGACAGTTGTAAAATAGTGATTCTGATTCATCAAGTAAAACATTTTAATTGTTATTAATATATACATATATAACTAAATAAACTCTAAGTTAAATAAATCTGACAAGACTTGAACTGAACGAAAGGGAAAAGCAACAGATAAATAGATAGATAAATTTATGACTTTACGTCAAACATAAAATTGAATGAGATGAAATTTAAAGCTGTTTTCTATTTTGCTAAGGGTAGAAGTACAGCAGATCCTTGTGCTGATTGTCGTCTTAAGGTCGTAAAAAAAAATCAAAAACGGAAGACGGCATAACAGTGCTGCAAAGGTATACCTGAAAATATTTAATTTTGAAACTATTGAAAGCTATTAAATATTTGTAGCAATTCTGTTGTACAGGACTGGCGAAACTCGAACTGGGCATGTACATATAGTTTGCTTTTCTGGCATAGGTTAGTACGAAACGTAAAAATCATTTATACAAATACGTTGAATACTTGTTGTACACTGTGTACAATCGTTTGAAGTCAAATTATTGCAGATTTACTATTAGAGATAAAATAACATACCATGTCCAAAGATTCGCTAAAAAACTCTCTTAGCCTATGCATAAATTAACTTATGAGTAAGTGTTGCAGGGGCGTAGGGCCTTCTTGTTCTGTACATAATAATAGTCATCCATTAAAACAACTATCCATATCATAATTGCGTTATTTACCGTACTGCCTTCATGGAACCTTAGGGAAGGGGAACGATTCGTACCTATTTGGGCAATGCTGGTCTTCAGAAAATAGAAAAAAAAGACTAATGTTGCTACTAAATTTAAACACAAAAAACGGTATATTTTAGGCAAGCTGCAGGATAATCATTTCTTTTTGTGTTTTGAATATTATATATAAATATCTATATGTTTGTAAATAAATAAGGCTACTCGTTGAAATATGTTCAACGATAGTAGCTGCGAATTAATACTATGTTCCCATAAAGTGAGTATATTTTTTTGGCTTTTGCAAATACTCTATTTTATGCAACTTAGATTCATTATAGAAATTGTCATTGGGTTTCAGAGCTGCAACTCGAAACCCTTCACTGAACTTTTCGCCCATTGGGGTAGAGTGACCTTACTACTTACTACCCCCCCTCCCCCCCCCCAAACAACCACCATCTGACGCGTGTCAACTGTAGGAAGTTGATAAGTTCTATACCATTAGTTAATAAGGTTCATTCATACGAAATGAATCTATATATAACGAAGTCCAGTTTCCTATATTTATTTTTAACTTATAGAGCTTCAGTAACACATTTTTATCTAGAGATAAAAGAAAATCATTAGATACAACTATAAAGTAAACATTTGGCAGCGAGCTCACAATATCCTCGAGGTTTGTTCTATAAGCTCGTTCACAATATACCTTTCGTTAATGTATACCGTTTGAAGCTATATATAGTATAATATGTGAAAATTAACTAAAAGTATGCCTAAGCACAATTTTCGGGGCTTCCAGAACGAGCTACCGCACCAGACCGCAGTTCTATGGATAATTGGATCTATGTTTGGTTTAGCTCACCGTACCAGAACAGGTATTTACGTACATTAAACTATGTGAGTTAGCAAATACATGATTGTCAATAACAACCCCACTAACAAAAGGCCATAGTATCCTAACTGTATGGAGATAAGCGTATGCAACGAGAGAACTTCTATAAGGGACAGATTTAAGTCACTTTTTTCAGGTGACCTTATAACCGTCTCCGTAATAAATGACTGGGTAACATACTTGCATGCTATTTTAGGGATACGTGAAGGCCTAGGTTTCATTGCGGGCGTCGACACGCTTCGCGCTGAAAGACAGTCGTCTGTGAGAACGTCCAACGGCGGTGCCGGACCTAAACCTTAAACATCCGCAAATATGCTCAGAATAATACCGTATCTTCCCTCGAGGTAACTCTGGGCAACAATAGCGATACTCTGGTTATAAGAATAATCTGAATACCTAACTATTCACTAAACCTATACTTTGCCTGTAATCAAGTCCTTCTCATAGGTCGATTGCCGTACTTTACTGACCAACTTACGCAGTAATCAACTTTGTGGCACAAGTTTACTGAATACTGTAGTTTACCGGCGCTAGACAATAGTTAGCACTTCGTATCGTTTGTCAGCTCACGACAGAGTACCGCATAGGTTTCCCCTAGCGATAATGACTAGAGAAGTTTTACTATCTGCTATTGAAATAGAATTCCTTACGTTTTGGCCGGCAAGTGGAGTTCTAAAAATCTACTTAAATGCTAGGAACTTAGGTGACAATACACGTTAAGGCTGTAAACTAAGCCTTAGCA